GTCTCTGTGGGTCCTGAACAATGGAGTCAAGATACAGATCAATCATGATCTCACTGACTGGTGAAAAAGACATGAAGGACAAATCGACCTACTCCTGTTCCTGTGTTCCTATGCAACAGCAATTAAACTAAACAAAACATAGAAAGAAAATGTTACTATTACTGAAATATGCAAAGCATATACGTGATATATGAGAAATAATTGATAGTTTATTGAGATGAATAACTTAATGGATCAAGGTTTGAACAAACTTGCACTTGGGTGCAGTACTTCTACTCAAGGTGACATTATGATGTTTTATTTATTGTATGTGCTTTGCCTATGGCACCAGAATTGGCAAAAAGCCTTTCATTCAATCATTAAACGAGAAAACAACACTAGGTCAGGGGACTGGGTCACTGTTTCCTCTGGTGATAAACGTAAATATTTTAAGAACTGTGGAACTGCCCCTGAATGAACATGAAAATTTTAGGAGACGGGAAGAATTTTGGACATTTGGATCACTTTAAAATTAATTAAAATGAAAAGAAAATGTTTAAGGCTTTAAAATACATAATATGTACCCCTTATCCCTTCCTGACACAGTATTTCCCCTATTACAGGAGCTTTTGACACAGATTTGGTGAGCTGCAGCCATTGCAATGCAATGCATCAGGGAGCGTGAATGTTATCTGGATGCTTTAAACCAGGTGACAGTCATACCTTTTAAAATAGCATCTTCTGGTTTGATCAGCAGTAACGGATGGGTGAATGCGTCTGCAAGCGAGGAAGGTAAGAGGACACAAGAAGGCAGCAGTGCAGTAGCCTCAGGACTTGCAGTTGTCCAAAAGGTTTGTAGATCTTTCAGCGTGTTTGGATGAGAGTGGTAGCTGCAGAGTAGATGAGCTGACCATGGCACAGGAAGCCATTCAAGTGGGGCAAACAAAACTGAAATTTGCAGCACTAAGGAAATATATAATGAGAGAGATTGACATGGTTCTCTACAGAAAAGAATCTAGCTGTGTTGCCTGCCCAGTACCAGGGTTTGAGACACCTGCTCAGGGGTGAAGAGCAACCTAGAGTAGAAAGTGGAGGCTTGAGTCATTATTATCCATGTAGGTACCAAAGATTTTGGCTGGACAAGCAACAGCTTCAGCACATTCAGTATAAGGTGGACACTCAACTAAGGAGCAGAACCTCAAATGTAATAATCTCTGGACTGTTACATGAACTGCATGTAAATTGGCACAGGGCAAATAAAATTAGAGAGATGATTGCGTGATTTAATGACTGATACAGTAGAAGTGAGTTCCAATTTGTGGGACATCAATACTTAGTGCTAAGTTGTCCTGAGATATTTGTATTTATATGCTTCTAAAGCTAGAGAGTTAGCTGACCCTAGTTAAAGAAGAGACCGCTTAAGCTGCTTTCTTTAATTAAATAACTCAGCTGCTATTCCAGTCGAGAACACAAAACATAACACCTTGCTTAAGGGTGGAAAATTTAGAATTTAAGGCATGAATTTCAAATAAATTAACTGCAAACAAATTTAGAGTTTTACAAAGACTCTCTCACTCAGCTAAATGCCAGCCCTCAGCACCAGTGGGTAGATAGGTGCACTGTGTCCGTGTGCATGCTCTATTATCTCAACACAGTCTCCATTTATAGTGGGCTGTTGTAAAAATTATTTTCATTGTTTTGTATGAAGTGAAGTGAATCTCATGCATATGTAATTGTACTGACAGTGGTGATTACTTTTATTGTGCAGTGAAAACTTCCATTGTATAAATAATAATGAGTTTGAGTTGCTCCAGAGTGCCTTATTCTATTATAGAAGGGGACCATTGTTAAATGCTGTCGAAATTCACCAGGAGAATATCAGATCAGACTTGAACAAGGAACTTGGTAAACTATTGCTGTGTTTACTGAAGCAAGGAAGAATGTGAAATCTAATTAAATGTTTGAAGAGGTATTCAGGTTTGAGAAGGTAAACAGTAAATGATTATTTCCTCTGGCTCATGAATCAGTAACATATTATAAATATGTAATTTCTACTAGAAGTATAAAAGGAAAGAACATTTTCCTGCAAATTAATAGATGGAATACCTTGCCACAAGTGACTGTGGGGGATAGCTTATATAGTACTAGTTGACACCAGGACTCACAACCTAATGGAAAACCACTGGCAAAACAACCACACTTCACTATTATCAGCACGTATCCCTTTGAAATTCAATTGACCAAAATGAAGTGAGATGTACACTGATATCTCACCCTATCTGATTAATCTTCTACAGTCCTACAACTCTCTCAGATATCTATGCAGCTCCTTCTCTGGCCTCCTGAACATCACTAGTGTCAATTTATACCTCAATAATGACCATGCCTTCGGCTGCAATGGCCTTAAGCTTTCTGCATCTCTTGGGAAGAAAGCACAGTTAACGTTTCGAGTTTGGTGACTCAGTTCTTATGAGGAGTCACTGGATTTGAAACGTTAACTCATTCTTCCCAGACCTGCTGAGTTTCACCAGCAAATTCTGTTCTTGTTTCAGATCTCCAGCATCTGCAGTTCTTTGTTGCATTATCTCCGCATCTCTTTCCTCCTTTGTGGCACTCCTCGAAGCCTACCTTTTTAACCAAACTTTGACATTTACCCTAATATCTGCTTGACTGCCTCAATGTCAAATTTTGCTTGTTAGCATTCCTAAGAAATTCCTTGAGACTTTTAAGTATGCTACATGCTACATTAATATAAATAGCTGTTATTGTAAATAAAAATGTTTATTTTTTTTAAAAATGCAGATGAAGAGTGGGAAAATGAAATACAATTTAGCAGTGGTACAAGGGTGATCTCGTGTTAATGTCACTGGATTAGTAATCCAGAACCTCAAGCTAATACTTTACACGCATGGGTTTGAATTCCACATGACAGATGATTAAATTTGAATAAAAATCTGGAAAAAAAGCTAGCTTAATGGTGACCATTTAACCAAGATTGATTATTTTTGTAAAAGCTCAACTGGTTTATTAATGCTTTTTAGGGAAGGATATCTGGCATCCTTACCTGATCTAACTATGACACCACATCCATGGAAATGTAGTTGATATTTGGAAATTACGGATGGGAAATAAATTCTGGACTAGCTTGTGATGCCCAAATCCCACAAAAGAGCAACAGAAAAACTATGATGCTGGAAAATCAACCTTGTTGCTAAAGCACAAGTGTTAGAGAGTGGCAATTCTCCCTTAAACACGATTTTGACTGGTTCAGATTCATGAGTATTTAGGCAAGCTTTCACTTAATTCCACAAATCAGTTTGTCTACTTAGTTCATTGCAACCTGGCCAAAAACAAAACATTTGCAGTGAATGGAATAATAAATTTAGACTGGGGTGTTGCACATTCTGTCAGACAAACATGTACTAACTGGTCCTATATCATAAATCATAAATCTTTTCGGAGCCAATGTTCAGATGTGAGTCAATGTGGTTTACATCGCTTTAAGGAGTACTCAAAAGCTCAAATGGAAACAGTATTTATTCTTCAGGTCTAAATTCATTCACATCATGGTTCATAATGCCTGAATCTCAGTGGGTCCAGTAGTGACACCACAGAGGAGGAATTCAACTACAATCATTTGTGTTGCAGAAGCTGTTAAAAATTTGATGGGGCAGCTGCCCTGCTCCAATATGTAGCTGAGTATGTAAACAGAACAGGTAACCAACCTGCTTGGAAGAACACAGAATCCCAATCTGTTATAATTTCCCCTTTGTGGCAAATTGCATCAGGCCAGCTTTGGATACTAAGAGGTGGCCTTTTCAAATGTAAAATAAATATGTTTGTTGAATCCCCACACTTGTGTTGACTTTATTACCAGGTAGATTTCCTGTTATCACTTGGTAGGTCCAGGGTACTGTCAGCCTCAGTTTAAATATCACTGATTCCCCTCTCAACTGCATAGGTTTAGCAAATAGTAGCTCACTGCCATCTTGTGGTGGTCGTAGGGAGAGTTTTGGAAGAAATTCCAAACCCGTGGCCCCTTCCATCTAGAACAACAAGGGCAACACATGGGAACACGACCACCTGCAAGTTCCCAAGCCATTCACCACCCTGACTTAGAAATATATCGCCGTTCCTTCACTGTTGTTAGGTCAAAATCTGAGAATTCCCTCCCTAACGGCATTGCTGGTCTATGTACTGCGCAGCAACTGTAGTGGTTCAAGAAGGCAGATCACCACCACCTTCTCAAGGGTAACTAAGGATGGCAACTTGTTTTAATGCAGCAATTACTGACCCACTATCAGTGCCCACATTCCAAAAGTGAACAAAAAGAGAAGATTGCAGAATAGAAGGAATATTTATGCACCCCTTAGCTTGACTGGAAAGCAATTGCTTCACTGCTCAGGCCCTAGATAAGACTGCATGGGGGAACTAACTGTTTAAATGCCATGAGTAAAAGGAAACAAAGAAAACTGTGGATGCTGGAGATCTCAAACCAAACCAAAAAAACGTCGGAGAAACTCAGCCAATCTGTGAGGAGAAAGCAGATGAAAAGTCAGATCAGAATCTGCTCCTATGATACTGCTTGGCCTGCTGTGTTCATCCAGCCCTGCACCTTGTTGTCTCAGAATCAAGAGTCATTTTCAGATGAAGTCACTGGACTCCAAACATTGACTCTGCTTTCTCTGTCCACAGATGCTGCCAGACCTGCTGAATTTCTGTTTTTGTTTTAAACTCCATAAGTGTCTGACGTGTCTAGGACGTGTAGGGTTAAAATCATCTGCTACCACCCCTTTTGTCAAATTTAGTTCCTTTCAGTACATTCGCTCACAGATACAAGGTCTTGGTCTTAACCTGATAGCCTACAGGTGAAAAGAAGAAAACAAATAAAAACTTCTTTGGAACTCAGTCCGAGCAAAAACCTGGCTTTGGGTCCCCAGTAGAAATCCAGCGATAACAGCCCCAGAAACATTAAACTAGGTCAGCAAAGCACTGAGTCACTGACTGAGAATGTCCAAAAGACTGGGTGGAGTCTGCAGGTAATTGATGCTGAAACTTTGAGGAACAGTAAGCATTTTTCCCTGCCCTATCTCTCCCCCAAACCACCACTTCCTCCCCAAAAACCTACTGGGCTGTCCGCTGGAAGGTTTATTCGCGAGGGCCAGAGGAATTGCTGAACCCTCCACCGCCCGAAACCTCCCCAAATGCCTGAACCGAAGAAAAAGGAGAAGTACGTCCTCCTGGACGATGACTCGGAGTGTGAGACCGAGGAGTTCAATAAGATGAAAATGTCTTGGATGGACACCCGCTCGGTGAAAGACGGGTAAGGGTGGGCTGCCTACAACTGGAGAGAAGCCACTGATTATAGCGATTACTTTTTAAAGAATCTTTACCTAGCCCTGACAGCTATCAGTTAATTCCCCAACTGAACAAAGCTGAACGAGCGGCCAGCTCGGATCGGACCACAGTGCAATGGTCTCATTGCATTTGGTGAGTTTTACCTGTTGTAGCAATTCACTATGCAGGTCAAACTGGTGACTGAATTCTCCCTGCCCAGCCAAGCCAAAAGCAACGGCTGCAAATTAACCAGCTCATTCCGCGGAAAGTACAGAACTGAGGGTGCTGCTAGTCTGAAATAAACCCCCAAAGTGCTCAGGCGGATCCAGCACTGCGGCAATACCTCATGCCGCCACTGGGCGTCTCAAAGGGCCATGTAACAAACGTAGTACTTCTTAAAGTCAGGCCACTTTTTGGAAAAAAAAAGTCAACCAAATCTGTTCACAGGAAACTCCCATGAATGTGACAATGATCGAATAACCTGTTTGTGTGGATGCATTTGACTGAATCAGTTTTGCTGATGGAGGGATGACTGATCTTCCTTTAATGAATTACTTTACAATTACCTGAAAGAGTAATTGGGGTCCCATTTTCTCATCTCATTCTGTCTTCATGCTCCCTCAGTAGTAGTAACTAAAGTTGCCATAGTCCCAGAGGGCTGCTGCTATTTAGAGAGAATGAAACATCTGGTGGTAAATTTAATCTGAGGGCCAACATGGTTAGGGGTGACGGCGATGATGACAAGGTGGGAATTTTAGCTAGTGTAGGAATTGAACCTGTATCATGGGCTTCACTCAGCACCATATACCAGCAGTCCAATCTACCTAGCTAGCTAATCAGCTTGTTTATTTTTTGTGTTGAAACCCGGGAGTGGGATGTGATGCCGGCAGCCTCTAACTTAGAGTTGAGTGCGCTGTCAACGCAGTCATAACTGAAACAGAGTGAATGGTCTGATATTAACCCAGCTTCCCCCAACAAGCAGCAGAAGGTTTGGGGGCCTTTAAAACCTGAAACGTGTGGATTGTGACCCTCAACCTACCACGCCCTCTGCTGTAAAAACATTTTTTGGAAGTTTGAGTTGCCTTTTGTAGGATGCTTAACTAATATCTTTAAACTGGTCTCTGAACATGCAGTAGGGTTAGTGACTTGAAATGAACCAGTGCTTTTATTTAATCCCTTGGTGCAATGCAATATCACAGGCAGGACCAACCATCGTTGCCCATCCCAAATTCCCCTTGAATGGAGTGACTTTTTAAAGCATTTTAGAAGGGAGTTAACCATCAGTTGTTTTGGATCTGGAATCACGTGGAGGCAAAGGGACATTATTGAACCAGATCAGTTTTTCATGATAATCAATGGTGATTTATGATACTATTACTAAGACTAAATTTACTAATTGAATTCAAATTCCACAGGCTGCCATGGTGAAATTTGAACTCAGATCCCAGAGCATTAATGAGGCCTCTGGCAATATTACCACATCACCAGCACTTGCACAGGCTTAAACAACGAACAAAAGCGGGTCTGGCAGCCTCTGTGAAGGAAAAAACAGAGTTAATGTTTCGGGTCCGGTAACCCTTCCTCAGAACTGATGGTGGCTAGGAAAACATCAGTTTATATGCAGAAAAAAGGGAGGGGAATGGGGTAGGAAGTAAACGATAGGATAGAGCCTAAAGAGAGAGAAGGGCAGTTGGATAGACAAAGGAGTTGTTAACGATCAGGCTGGGAGGGTGAATAGCTGTTAATGGGGACTATTAGTGACTAACGATAGGTAGTGTGTAATGGCAGGCTATGTAGTAATAAGGCCTGGTGTGTGGGGTAGGGGGCTGAGACATGGGAGGGTTTAGGCCCTAAAATTATTGAACTCAATATTGAGTCTGGAGGGCTGTAGGGTCCCCAAGCGGAAAATGAGGTGTTGTTCTTCCAGCTTGCGCTGAGCTTCACTGGAACACTGCAGCAAGCCAGAGACAGAGATGTCGGCCAGGGAACAGGGTGGCGTGTTAAAGTGACAGGCAACAGGTAGTTCAGGATCTTTTCTGCAAGTCCTGCTAAGCAGTCACCCAGTCTACGCTTAGTTTCCCCAATGTCGAGGAGACCATATTGTGAGCAGCGAATGCAGTAGACTAGATTCTGGGAAGTGCAGGTGAAGTGTTGCTTCACCTGGAAGGTATGTTTAGGCCTTGGATACTGGGGAGGGAGGAGGTAAATGGGCAGGTGTTGCACCTTTGCCGGTTACAGGGGAAGGTGCCGTAGGGCTGTGAGGAGGTGTTGGGGGTGAAGGAAGTGTGGACCAGGGTGTCCCAGAGGGAACGGTCCCTGCGGAAGGTGGACAAGGGAGGGGAGGGGAATATGTGTCTGGTGGTGGCATCTTGCTGGAGGTGGTGGAAATGGCATTTGATGATCTTCTGGATGTGGATGCTGGTGGGATAGTAGGTAAGGACAAGGAGAACCCTATCGCTATTGTGGGAGGGAAGAGAAGGGGTGAGGGCGGAAGTGTGGGAGATGGGTCGGACCTGGTTGAGGGCCCTGTCGACAACGGAGCCAGGAAATCCTTGGTTGACGAAGAAGGTAGACATTTCAGAGGCTCCCTTGTCGAAGTTAGCCTCATCTGAACATATACAACAGAGACAGAGGAACTGAGAGAACGGGATGGAGTCTTTACAGGAAGTGGGCTGTGAGGATGTATAGCCCAGGAATCGTTGGGAGTCAGTGGGTTTGTAATGGATATTACTGACCAGTCTATCCCCAGAACAGGAAACAGACATGTTGAGGAAGGGAAGGGAAGAGAGTCAGAGATAGAAAGTGAGGGCAGGGTGGAAATCAGAGGTGAAATTGATGAAGTTTTCCAATTCCAGACGAGAGAGGGAAGCAGCACCGATGATATCATTGATGTATCGGAGAAAGAGTTGTAGGTGGGGGCCGGAATAGGACTGGAACAAGGAATGTTCCACCCGCCCGATGAAGAGACAGGCATAACTAGGGCCCATGTGGGTACCCATGGCAACCCCTCTTACCTGAAGAAAATTAGAGGAGTTGAAAGAGAAGTTGTTGAGGGTGAGGACGAGCTCGGCCAAGCGGAGGAGGGTGGTGGTGGGTGGGAATGGTTCAGGTCTTTGCTCCAGGAAGAAGCGGAGAGCCCCAAGACCCTCCTGGCGTGGAATGGACGTGTAAAGGGATTGCACATCCATGGTAAAGAGGAGGCGGCTGGAACAGGCAAACTGGAATTTTTGCAACTAGCGTAAGGTGTCAGAGGACGTACTTGGGCAGGGATTGGACCAGGGGGGAGAAGACGGAGTCAAGGTAGGAAGAGATGAGTTCTGTGGGGCAGGAGCAGGCTGAAACAATGGTTCGGCCCGGACAGTCCTGTTGGTGGATGTTTGGGAGGAGGTATAAGTGAGCTGTGCGGGGCTGGGGTATTATCAGCTTGCACAGGCTTCCTAGGAATCTGGAACAAGAGGCAGGAGCTGCCAGTACTGCCAGAAGTGGCTGTTTTCACACTCCGTACAGGCTAGGAGGAGAAGGACTACTCAACACTACTTCAGTCCCCTCAAAGGCCTACTCTCACCCAGCTGCAATCTCTAGCCTGCCGTATGACTGACTTCAGTCACTCACTGCCACAATAGCTGACCTCACTCCCACCCACCCACCTCCGCAAGTGAGTCCAACCCCACTCCTGATTAATGACCTCTGATAACATCACTCTCTCCTCTACAAGGGACCTCACTCACCCTCCCTGTTGAAGATCACACTCACCCTCCTGATGGACTTTATTTCCCTTACTACTTGACAACTTTGTGGCATTGTGTTAGAAGTATGCTGCCACTATTTTTCTTTCTTTGACTACATCTAAAGGCCTATTTGGTTTACAGTGATAAAGGAACAGCCACTAATGTGTTTTAACAGGAAGAGATTCTTGTCTTAATAAGGTATAAATCATTGCATGAAAAAATAATTCTGTGTAAGTTATATTATCAACATAAACTTTGATTTGAAAACTGCGAGGAGACTTGTGCATATATGTGTGCACTCCTTGACATACTAAGATGTTCTACACTTTACCCACCCAAACCAGAATGACCTCATCAGATTGGGTACATAGGAACATAGGGACAGAAGTAGGCCCATTCAGCCCTTCAAGCCTGTTCCATCATTCAATGAGATCATGGCAATCTGTGGCCTAACTTCATATATCTGCCTTTGGCCCATATCCCTTAATACCTTTGCTTAACAAAAATATAGCCGTCTCAGATTTAAAAACTGATCCAGCAACTCTGCCACTTCTGGAAGAGAGTTCCAAATATCGGCCACCCTTTGTGTGTAGAAGTGCTCCCTAACATCTCTCCTGAACAATCTAGCCCTAATTATCAGACTATGCCCCCTCATTCTAGAATTCCCAACTATTGAAAGTGGATTATTTTTTATCACATTTCCTGTTCCTAGCTTTCTCTGTTAATATCTTGAAGACTTTCATCATATCACCAGTTAACCTTCTAAATTCTAGAGAAAACATCTAATTTGTATAATCTCTCGTCAGAATTTAACCTCTGAAGTCCAGATATCATTCTTGTAAGCCTACGCTGCAGACCCTCCAAGATCAATGTATCCTTCCTAAGGTGTGGTGCCTTGATCTGCTCAGTGTTCCAAGTAGGGTCTAACTTCTGCATCCTTGTTTTCCAGTACTCTAGATATAAAGGCCAGCATTCTGTGAGATTTATTAACTATTTTCTGTTCGCAACTATTTAAAAATTTATGCACTTGAACACCAAAGTCTCTTTGGACATACACTGTATTTAACTTCATATTATCTAGAAAGTACCGTGATATATCCTTTCTCAATCCAAAATGGATAACCTCACACTTGCTTACATTGAACTCCACCTGCCACAGCTCTACCCATTCACTTAGTCCGTCAATATAGCTTTCTAATTTTATGCTGTCGTCTACACTGCCTACAATGCCACCTAATTGCATGTCATCAGCAAATGTGAATACATGACGTTCTATGATATTATTCAAGCCATTAATAAATAAGAATGTGAATATTTGAGGCCCTAACACAGATCGTTGTGGGACACCACTAGTCATATCCTGCCAACGCGAGTACCTACCCATTGTGCCTACTTTCTGTCACCTGCCACTCAGATTGAGCTGAATGCAGACTCTAACATTAACTCTTTCAGAACCATTATTATATGTAACATTTGCACCATAGCTCTTCTCCTGTACATTCAGGTACGTATTTACATATACCGCTACTATGACTTCCCTAACTTTGCAAATTCAGGCAGTCTAGAGGTTTCACAATTCTACCAGAACATGTTCTTTTCAGACTTGGAACATTGTTAGGTCTTTGGCTGTTGACAACTGTTGACTTTGATTCTAATCATAGCCTCATATGGTCCATAAACTGTCTCTGCACTAGACGACATTCTGTTCCTTAGATGTCCTTCAAATAGGATGCTTTTGCTGCTATCCCATATGGTTAGTCCATTATCTTATCTGGGAGAGCCTTAAATTTCAGAAAAACTCTTTCCTACTGAATCTAGTAGTAACTACACTCTAATCTCATGAATTTCCAATCTGAAAAAAACTGCAGCTCGGTGAAAACAAAATCCTTCTTTTTTTTGCATTATCCTGCATTTCTGAGCCAGGTAATTTCTTCTTTTTGACCATGACCTGAATCGATGGGTGTTGGTCTTGCTTCCATGGAGTCACATGCAGTTCATTTTCATTTGTGCAAGGAAATCTTTATTTTCAATCTTCTGACAGATGTGTGTCGAAGTATGTATTCTGTCTCCATCATTGAGGGACTGGTGCAGCAGACATTGTCTCCTATTCGATCATGATACTGGAGGATTGCTCTTTACTTAGAATTCTCTCTGTCACTAGTACTGATTAACACTGCTTTGGAAGGTGAAGAATCGAAGTCTTCTGCTTGAATTTCTATCATCACTTCAGCTGACATCAAATTCAAATCTGTTATAACAATTTGTTCTGCAGATGATTTTTACAACTTTGGTTAAAGTTTCCATAATGAATTCATGAATTATACTGCTTATTTTTGTTGCCAGTATTTGCTTTGGCTTGCAAATGTTGCTATTGTACTGTCACTATCTGAATGTTCATCAGTGAGGAAAAAGAGATGGAAAACATTTCCACCATTCCTGCCTTATCATGGATTTGCTTCTTACCAATCTAGCTAATCTCAACAGATTAATTTGTAATTTTGGTTACACCATGAGTAATCTTCTACCTGTTGCCCCTTACCAGATCGATGATAAAAAGTATATTCCTGGATCACTTGTTTTCTGAATTATCCACATACAGCTGACAGCATAAAAGAACCAGACAAGAGAAACAATGGACAAGATATCACTTTTAATAACATTTACTTTAACAGTCAAACCAAAATCGCAATAAATTGAATAGGAATTAACAGGCAAATTGTATTGTACAGAAACTATAAATTACATTTTAAATTGCCGATGCAACAAAGATAGAACTCACAGATTTACTGACAGAATCCCATGTGCAGTGTTAAAGACCTTTACAACTTTGGCTTCAACTCCTTTCCTTCACCCAAGATTTAATCATGATTGTCTCCAAGAACTGTTTCACTCCACCCAAGCTACAAGGATATGATTATTTGCCACAAGTCCCACGACACCAGGTTATAGTCCAACAGGTTTATTTGAAATCACAAGCTTTCAGAACACTGACGAAGGAACAGCATTCTGAAAGTTGTGATTTCAATTAAACCTATTGGATCATAACCTGGTGTAGTGTGATTTCTGACTTTGTCCACCCCAGTCCAACACCAAAACCTCCACATTCATGATTATTTGCAAAATGAGCCACTTCTGTAGAATCTCCTTCACTTGTTTTACCACAGTATTCAGGTTTCAGTCTTTTTAGTTATCTCAGCTAGCCTACAGTGTTGTCTCCCTCCTGAACAAAACTGATCTGTCAGCTTCATGATTTTCCCCAACCAGTCTTCAATTCCCTTGTGACCTAAGATCTCCTGTTGATTTCCCTGAAGTCTGAAATCATAGCCAGAAATCCCAAGTTACAATACACTTTCCCAGAAGCCTGAATTTGGTTTCTCTTCTCGTTTATAGACTGTTTCAAAAAAAAAGTACGCTTTGAACCAACAATTATGCAGACAACAACTCCCAAATATTTCCCGCTGGTTTTGGAAACTGCAGATTGCAGTACATTTTGGACAACGTTGAGCTGGGCAGACAGATAACTGTACAAATCTTACCATTGATAAACTACACAGATTATAATAGACACTATTTACAACTACAGAGTCTGTATTTCTATATAGCATTGGCACCATCACAAAATTGTAACAGACAATCTCATGGTTGACTCCACTAAATAAGATGAGCAATTTTTGGACAGTCCATCAGCAAATCTAATTGCTGCTCATTTTGATTCAACTCTGTTCCAGTAATTCCTTTTTTGCCAAGGAGATTTGAAGAATCAAGAAATTCACAGCAAGATCAACTAAAACATCAGATTAAGTCAATCCAAATGCTGCAATATTAGTGTAAATAATTGCTTGGTAATACAGAAATTAAATATTGCTAAAAAGTGACATGTAATTGAAAGTCTTGTCTTGCACTCGTCAGGACTGAAACACAAGAAAAACAGTTTTAGAAAAGAGAGAACGATGCATACAGCATGAGAAACTGTAGTCATTTGGCAGTGCCTTGACCAGAGTTGAATGGCCTGGTTTGAGTTTAACTGGTTAACAGTTCATCATGCTAACCATAGTTCTACCAACAATCACCCTCTTCACTTGCTGTAGAAATGCTTTTTTTTTCCTTTCTGATGTTTTGTTTGTTTCAGAGCTAATGAGTGTACGATGAAAAGCCTTAACACCATGTCTCTTTTTAGCAATATTTAAATATTAATATAGTCAACTGTGATGAATGAAAACTAAAATCCATTGTTAGGATGGTAAACCTTAGGCTATAATCCAATAACATCCACACTGCCATCACATACTTGGAAAACTATCCCTAGAATTAAAATGGTTTTGATCTTAAATTTCATTACGTGATGTTCCAAACTCCTACTTTGTATCAGATCAGCCACTTTTTGCCATTTCTTTGAGTGAACTGCCAATCTCTGGTCAAAGTTACATTAGGAGACATTGAGAACTCATGCAGGTTGTTGCAATATTTCATTATTAAAGTATACCTTAATCATGATAGACCAGAAAATGAGTCATGTTAACTGCAATGGGTCAAAAGGTATTTTCTTATTCCAACCTTTATTGTGTCTAAACAAGTGCAGAGTTTTAATGAGTTCTGCACTTCTGCTACAAACAGTACATAAGAATTAAAGGGAGGGATATAAAAACATTCAGAACACATATGTCAGCATAAAAACTGCTAGCAATGGCACATCAGTAGCTTTAAAAAAAGCTGGTAAATTTTAAATAGCTCTAACATGTAACTGGTAAATAAAGTAAATCTACCTTAAATAAAAGAATTCAAAGGTTAAATGCATAAAGTTAGTGATGTATTCATGAGAATTCCAGAGCTCTTAATCATGGCCTTTAACAAACAAAGTGACATGATGATTACAGAGGGTGTAGTTCACTGCGGGGCAAGTAAATTCAGCCAAGAACTAGACTGTGCAAGATAATCCTAGACCATCCCGATCCTTATCAGAAAATATTGACAGTTCCCACGATGCTGACCTCTCAGCAGTTATGTTTGCAGAGATTAAGAATTTGAATTCTCTAAAATAGACTGGTTGAAGCAGAGTCTGTAAATGTTTTCTAAGAGAATCTGATAATTGCTTCATGAAGAAGAATATTAAATGTTATGAGAAGTGTACTAGAAAATCAGATCAAACTTGGCACTTCATTGAAAAGAAAATATATTTTTGCAGATGTAATGAGCCAATAGCTCGTTTCTGTACTGTAATTAATTCTAATAAAAATGTCTTAATTAGCTCAAAGATTCATCCACAAAGGAATTGTAAATGTATTTCAGTAGTGTAGTGATTAGAAGTTACTTAATTACATGTTCTTCAAAACCCATATCTTTGTGTTTGAAATTGAAAAAGCAGACTAAAAACTTAGTATTTGAAAAAGAATAATAGACACTGTGAACCAGCCAGATTGTGCAATTCCAATTACCTCATTATAACAACTTGCACTTATCCCAAGTTTTCAATGTAATAGAACATCTTCCTAAGAGTATTGTCAAACAAAGTATAAATATTGAGTCAAAGAAGGGGATATATATGATGATGTATTAACAACAGCTTGGTCAAAGTGGTAGAAATTAATGAGTATCTTAAACAGAAATGTGGAAATACCATATAAGTTTAAGGAAGGAAATCCACAACTTAGAGCTGAGGCATTTGAAAGTGCAACAGAACAAATGTAATATATGCAGGAGGCCTGATTTGGAGGAATACTAAATTATTGGAAATCTGTAGAGCAAATGGAAACGACACAATTGGAAGGGATGGGGTCATGGAAAGATTTGTACACAAGGATGAGAATTTTTAAAGTAATCCTTTAATGGACTGGAAACCAATGTAGATTAACAAGAAAAAGATAATGAATGACTGAGACTTTGTGAGGATTGGATATAGAGACTGCAAAGGCTTAGATGAACACATGTTCATGAAAAGTAGAAGGTGGGAACCTGGTCAGGAATGAACTGAATCTCGTACAGTTCCTTCACATAATACCCTAGCTCTTATATTTACATTGTTAATATTCCTGAACATTTGTGTGGTGCTGGTGTGTGCCATCATATCTAAGGCAATTACCAAGTGTAAAAATGCAGTCCAACATTACTAGTAATCTTCAAGAATTTTGACAAACTAAGTTACTCAATAAAACTCATCTTGCATGCAATGCAAACATATTGTAATCAAAATTTTTATTTATATCGTAGGAAAAAATACACAACTTGCAGAGCCGGCAGATGTTCTGCATGGTGTCAACCACAGTGGATCTGTCACACTATCTTCATCTTTGTCCTCCTCGTTTCTCAAGTATTTTTGTTTCTGTATGTACTGAGGCAACAACAGGAGCTAGAAATATTAAAACTGGAACGAGGCGTCAGTAAACAACAAGGTAAGAATTAAAATGTTGCATCAATGTTTATATAATATGGAGAATACAAGCAATAAGTTTGAAATTTGCCCGAGAAGGCAATTTTCAACATCTATACCTTACTAATATTCTGTTTAGGGGTTTAAATATCTTCAGTACAGAGCTTCATTTAGTGTGGCCTGGGGGGGGTTGTGAGGAGTTGGTGTGGAGAGGGGGCAGGTTTCACATTGGGTCACAAGGGGGCGTAGCTGTCTGGTTGGGTGTTGCAGAGACGGGGGTCGTCAACTCGGGTCTGGTGGGGAAAAATTGAATTGGGTCAAGGGTTGTTAGTTCTGCTGGGGTTCAGGACATGATGGGGCAGGAATTTGGGGGGTGGTGTTTTGGGTTGTGTCAAGTCAGGGTGGGATGTCCCGATAGGTAGCTGCCGAGAGGATGATAAATCAGGCTGGAAAATTCTCAGATTGGGTTGTGTAGGTGGTGGAGCTGTTCAATTTAGTGGGTGCTGTTGGATCTGAGAATGTAGTTTGGGGTCATCAGATATGACCATGGTTGTGACCATGATCATCCATGATCAAATTGATTGGCCTCCTCCCACTCCTATTTTCTACATTCCTAGTTTCTATGTCAGTTCAGTGTCAGGGTTTAGTTAAGGAGTTACCCAGAGGTTGGTTAGTTTTTAAACCTCTACATTTTTCTGGCTAACTGTTAAGAATAACTAAGTCAGAATGCTCCAAAGTTTCTGACTTTAAAGGAATTTTTGTGGAGTGTTCTGAGGCAAGGGAGTTGCTCATTAGAAATAGTAGTTTCCTGGGCAATTTCATTGAAAACAGTTATACCGTGAATTCCACATGGTCCTGATGTCTAGTCTATGCTGTTCCAATGACATTCTGGTCATCAGAATATCTGGGTCCAAATCATTGAATCACTCACCTTTCCATTAAAAGCAATACAATTGCCTTTTGAATCTCTATACAAACTATATTTCACTTCAGTGATCTCCTTAATAATTTATTTTGCAATTCTTATTATTGTTTGATTAAAATAAAAACTTGACTTCTATTCATGCTATTTTTGTTTTATTTATATTTGAAAGCTTGTTTGTTATAGTTAAGGATTTTGCCAATTCAGTTAAAAATATTGAAAACTCCAATCAGATCATCCCAAATTTTCGATTCCTTCAATAAAAACAAACCCAATTTTTACACATGCCTGGTCTCTGGAAGACAATGAATTTTTTTTTTGAATTATGTTTCCTCCTTCTCATTTGTATTAAAGTGATTTAAGTTGCCTCATGCGACAACCAACAATAACAACCTGTCTCTTTCTGTCATTGCCCTGGAGTTACTGCTGACCAGAAGGTGAACAGGGCTAGCCGTAAAAATGCTGTGGAAATAAAAACAGATCAAAGGCTAAGAATTTTGCAGCAAGTAGCTCACCTCCTATATCCACAAAGCAGGTCAGGACTGTAATGGTATACTCTCCACTTGTCTGAATGACTGCAGCACCAGGAGCTCTAGGAAGCATGGCACCATTCAGGACAAAGCAGCTTGCTTGCCTCTCCCATTCACATTCCCCCCCCTTCACAGTTGATGTAGTATGTACTATCTATAAGATGCACTGCAGTAACTTATCAAAGATCCTCAACAGCAACTTCAAAACACTAATTTCCAAACTCTACCACCTAGAAGGACAGCAGATACATTGGAATACCACAATCACCACATTCCCCTCCAAGCTGCTCACTATCCTGAATTAGAAATATAGAGCCAATCCTTCACTGCCAGTGGCTCAAAATCCTGGCGCACTGTAACAGAACTATGCCCCACAGATTTCAGCGACTTAAGAAGTCAGCTTACCATCAGCTTCTCTAGAGCAATTAGAGATGTTTAGTAATTATTTGCTGAGGCAGTAACACCTACATCCAATAAAGGAATTATAAAACACACTTTCTTTGTTCTTGAAACCAAGGCAGCACATACTGTAATGTCATAATGGAAGAAGGGCTTCTTGCACCACATAATATCCCTATTTTTATACAACAACTCACTCTCTGAACCATCATGGACTTCACACAAGATATGGTGGTATGAAATGACAAGGGTCTCCAGATGGATTCTTATGGCATCTCACTCATAAATTTTAACTTGCAAAGAAATTATGACACCTTGTTTCCTATTTGTAAGATAATCTACTTTACAGTGTCACACCTTATTTTCTATTTTACTATTTCTCACTTTAGCCACTTAGTTGTATTGCACATTAGGTAATAGAAATATCACTCCTAAATTATTAAACTGTGTGGAACTGGTAAAGTTACAAATACAATGAGAAAGTACTCAACTTCCACTCTTTACAATTCTTCACCTTATACATAATCATATTTTTTTGACTAGAAACTAGAGACTTGTCTGGTATGAGGCCAGCCATGTAGCCAAATATATGTGCGTTACTACTTGCCACATGAAAATCTATCTGATAATCCAAGTATATAATTAACTGCAACTTTCAGTGCCCCATGTTAACAATGTATTTGAAGTAATTAATATATGACCTTTGTTGCTATGGAGGAGGAAAGCAAAATGGTCACACCACCTGCTTCTGTTTTGTGATAAGAAGAAACATGTTGAGTCAAGGTTTTGATTTTAAAAAAAAGGCAAATGAAGAAAATCTGTTTAATTTTGATAATGGACCTATACGGAAAGACAGTCATGATGGCTTGACATTTTTAGTCATTCCTACATTCTTATGACAGTCTGGCTTATAAATGTCATAATTTTTAACTCTTGCTCAATAAGGGAGGATATAAGGAATCAGCATTCCATGTCCCCACAGAGCACAGGGTCTGCCAGGTGTGAGCAGGGAGATATCCGAGAACTACATTCAGTAAAAGAGTCCTCTTGTTCCTTTTTACTGGATTAATCAAGGGACCTTTATTAACTTTATAGGCAAGGCAAAGAGTCTTTTATAAGACAACTTATTCAGAAAATACTATGTGAAATTGAAGGTTAAATTACAAGATGACAAAGTGAAGATTGATATCTGTAAAACCTTATTCAGTTGGAAATACCTATCTGCTTCAAAAGCGTACAACAGTACTACACTGTTAATAAATCAGGTTTGCAAGACATAATGGAGCCATGGTAACAATGCTCCCATTTACATGCAACTGGAGCTTAAACGTAAGCTGGATTCTTTGAAGGTATATAGATAGCTTTTTTCTCATTATAGTAATTCAGTTTTCTGTCCATGTTTTACCTTTGTTCCTTATTTGTTTCCTCATATTTAATGTTTCCACAGTTAAATAGGTAAGCACTTCAAGAAGCTGTGCCGACTGACCATTGTCACAATGTAATGATATTGTAGGTAGCATGGATAGGGTGAATAGCCACAGTCTTTTTCCTAGGGTGTGGGAATCCAAATCTAGAGGATATAGATTTAAGGTGAGAGGGGGAAAAATTTAAAAATTACCTGAGGCGTAATTTTCTCATGGAGACGGTGATGCGTGTATGGAATGAGCTGTGAGAGGAAATAGTGGAGATGGTTACAGTTTTAACATTTGAAAGATAGCTGGATGGATATATGAATAGGAAAGGTTTAAAGGGATATGGGCCAAATGCTGACAAATGAGACTAGGTCAGATTGGAATGTCTGGTCAGCACAGACAAGTTGGACCAAAGAATCTGTTTCTATGTTGTATGACTCCATGACTATAAAGTCATTGTATGATGTATATAACCAATATAAACAGCTTCCACATTATTACTACTATGCAGTTAACTCAAGAATTAAATAATGGATGACATTCATGTTTATTTTTGTGCTTTCTCCCAACAGCCTTACTTAGTAGCAGTGCAAATAGGAACTTTCTGTCACTATAGTACATTCCTGACCCAGTTTCTATGATTTCCAATTTTCTCTAGCACTGTTTAAGAATGCAGGTTGGTTCGGGTCATGAGCTGATATCTTGCAGTCCTGACCTATTGGGCTCCATTGATGCCCTAGTTACCCACAATCATCATGGAGTCAGGCCAGCTTTTAAAGAAATTGTGATTAATGGCACCTCAGTTATCATGGGCAATAATCTAGATGAAGGAATCTTTTGCAAGGTAAATTCAAAAGATCTTAATTGTGCCCTATTTGCTAAGCTATACAGCTTCTAGATTTTATGAGGCCATCCTGCATGTGAGATAGTTGTCCTGGGTGGTTTGCAGCTGGGATTCATTTTGTCTTACTTTCTCAACCTGTGACGTTTGTGCATGCACAGAATGCATATCTTTCTGATGACACCTCCAACTTCCACAGTCTCAGCAGTACCTCCAACACTCCCCCTCAACCACCAAAGCTTCCATTAGCCGAGCTGCAGTCCCCACCACCCTGCTCCCAAAAGCATTAGCAAGTACCAATGCCATCTCTGTTTACACAGTCTCAAAACATTGTACCTCTTGCTCACACAGTCCTTCATGCCCCGAGTGATGTTCACCTTGCTGAATGATCCTATTAGCTTGAAAAAAATATTTAGGAAAAGGGACAGAAAGCAGGACGCTACAACCCAATTAACGTGTCAAAGGGAAAATGCTGGAAACTTTTAAAGTTGTAGTATAGCGCTTACAAAATCTTAATGCTACATGGTCTTGTGAAAGGAGAGTAATGTTTGATTAGTTAGCGTGCTTTGATGAAATAATAAACAATGGGAATCTTAAATATAATGTACTTGGGTTTCCAAAAAATATTTAATAAGATGGCACATCAAAAGATGCCCCACAAAATAAACACCCATATAATAACAGGGCAACATGTAAGCATGAATCAAGGACTGGTCAACTAACAGGAAGCAGAGTAGAAATAAATGGATCATTTTCTGATTGGCAGGCCTCAACTGTTTACAAAAAATACCAAAACACTTGTATAAAGGGACTAAAAGTATGATTGCTAAATTTGCTGATGACATAAAGGTAGGTCGGAGAGTGAAGAGAACATGAAGAGTCTGCAAAAGAAAAGTTAAGTGAGTGGACAAAATGTTGGCAGATGGATTGTACTGTGAGATAACATGAAGAGAGAAGCAATATAGTACTTAAATGAAAATTGAAAAACTCTGAGATACGGGGGATCCTTGTGTCCTAGTAAATGACTCAGAAAAAGCTATTATTCAAGTATGGTAAGCAATTAGGAAGGCAATTGAAATGTTGGTAAGTGCAAAGGGGATGGAGTATAAAAATAAGGAAGGTTTATTGCTACTGCACAGTCGTGCTGAGACTACATCTGGCATGCTGCAAGAGTTGTAGCCTCCTTACTTAAGGAATGATATTATTAGAAACAGTTCAGAGATGGTTTGCTTGAATGATTTCTGGGATTAAGGGGTTATCTTATGAGAAAAGTTTAGACAGGTTGGGCATGTAACCATTGTCTTTCAGAAAAATGTGAATTGTTACTGAAACGTACAATAGCTCTTGACAGGATGAATGCTGAGAGAATGTTTCCCCTTATGGAAGAGACTAGAACTAGAGAGTATGTAGTTTAATAATAGGAGGTGTCTTATTTAAATCAGAGATGAGGAGAATTCTTTGCTGTCAGGAGTTCGTTATTTTGTTAAAAATTTTTTTGCTGGAGAGTAGTGGAAGCAGGCTCAGTGAATATTTTTTAAAATCTAGTTCTTAATTGACAAGGGAGTTAAATGTTATTGCAGGTAGACAGGAAAGTTTAGTTGAGATCACAATCCAATCCGCCACGATCTTACATGGACAAGCCTGAGGGGCTGAGTGGCCTCTTTATGCTCCAGTGTTTATTTTTGTATATTCAACAACCTGTCTTCAACTTTCAGAAAACTGTCTTCTGGTTGTCATGATAGTGTCTGCGAAGGAAAAGATAGCTCCTTGTATTTCTATGGGAATTCAAAAATATAATAGATGAATTCTAATATGTTGCAAGTACTGCATTGTGTACTGTTGTACATTATTTTCTCCACAACATGTCACCTTCCTTTCAAACAACTTGATTTGGCTTTTCATTGATTGATAGATTGTTGTCACATGTACCAAGATGCGGTGAAAAGTGTTATTTTGAATATTATACAGGCAAATCATACCTTACAAAGTGCATCAGGGTAGCAGAACAGAGTGCAGAATACAGTGTTACAGTCGCAGAGAAGATGCAGAGAGAGAGACATCAGAATTAACATTGGAGAGATCTGTTCAAAAGCCTGATAACAGTGGGAAGAAGCTGTTCTTGAAACTATTTGTATGTGTATTCAAACTTTTATATCTTCTGCCCAACAGAAGAGGGTGGAAGAGAGTATAACTGGGTGGGAAGGGTCTTTGATTGTATTGGTTGCTTTCCTGAGGCAGCAGGAAGTATAGCCGGAGTCTGTGGATGGAAGGTTGGTTTGCATGATAGTCTGGGCTGTATTCACGAATCCCTGTAATGCTTGCAGTCTTGGGAAGAGCAGTTGCCATACTACGCTGGGATGCATCCAGATAAGATGCTTTCCATGATGCATTTATAAAAATTGGTAAGAGTCCTTGTGTACATGTTGAATTTCCTTAGCCTCCTGAGGAAATAGGGATGTTGTTGTGCTTTCTTGACTATTGTGTCGACATGGGTGAACCAGGACAAATTGTTGGTGATCATCACTCCCAGGAACTTGACATTCTCTACCATCTCCACCTCAGCACCATTGATGCAGACTGGGGCGTGCCCTCCACTCCGCTTCCTGAAGTCAATGACCAGCTCCTCCATTTTGCTGACATCGATGGAGAGATTGTTGTATTTACAGCATGCTGCTAAGCACTCAGTCTCTTTCCTATATTCTGTCTCGTCGTAGTTCAAGATCCAACCTACAATGGTGGTGTCATCAGCAAACTTGTAAGTGGAGTTAGGGCGGAATTTGACTACACGATTGTGAATATATAAGGAGTATAGTAGGGGGGCTGAGTACACAGCCTTGTGGGACATCGGTGTTGAGGATAATGGTGGAGGAGGTGTTGTCATCTATTCTTACTGATTGCGGTCTATGGCTCAGGAAGTTGAGTATCCAGTTACGGAAGGTCACGGAGTTTAGAGATGAGTTTGTTTGGAATTATGGTGTTGAGGCAGAACTGTAGTCCATGAGTTTGAGCCTGACGTAGGTATCTTTGTTATCCACAAATAATGGGTGTCCATATGATTAGTCTGGATGTCAAGCTTAGTTTGATATTTTCTCTTGGTGTCTCTGATGGACTTACAAAGGTCATACCTGCATTTCCTGCATAGATCAGGATTGCCAGATTTGTAGACCTCAGACCTGCACTTCAGTGGAGAGTGAATTTCCCGGTTCATCTGTGGTTTCTGGTTGGGAACATTCGGATTAACTTCTTCGGCACACAGTCTTCTACACACTTACGAATGAAGTCTTTAACAGTCGTGGCATACTTGTTTAGGTTGGCCACTGATTTCTTGAATATGGATCAGTCCACCGACTCTAAACAGTCCCATAGAAGCCCTTCCATTGCTTCAGACCAACACTGCACTACTTTCTGTACTGGGCCCTCACGCTTCAATTTCCACCTTTAAGCTGGGAGAAGGAGCACAGCGCTTCAGTCTGATTTTCCAAAATGCTGACGGGGAATGGCATCTGTGGTTGTGTAGCAATGGTCAGACCTCTAGTAGGGCAGGAGGTTGGCCTGGTTGAAGTCACCAGCTACGAGGAACAAGGTCTCGGGGTATTCCATCTCAAGGCTGTTTGTAGCGTTGTATACTTTGTTAAGTGCACTCTTCACTTTCGCATGGGGTGGAATGTAGACCGCTTTCAGGAAAGCAGAGGTGAACTCGGGCGGCAGGTGGGAGAGACGGCACTTCACTGTGACATATTCTAGATCCAGGAAGCAGTAACTTGCAAGGGTCGCCACGTCTGAGCATCAGGAGGTGTTCATTAGGAGACAGACCCCACTGACCCTTGCCTTGCCAGAGGATGCCGATCCGTTCATTGAGTGAACAGAGAAAACCTCAGGTTGTAAGGCGCAGTCAGGTGTAGGAGTGAGCCATGTCTCTGTGAAGCAGAGCACACAATAGTCTCCCAATTCCCTTTGGAAGGTGAGTCTAGCTTTGAGTTCATCCATTTTGTTCTCAGTGGCTTGGATGTTTGCCAGGAGTATGCTGGGGGGGTGGTGGGGTGGGGTGTGGAATTGAAACCCTGAAGTCCAGCATTTCTCCCACGTTTCCTGGGTAGGTGGCTGTCCCTAGTCAATTCCGGATGTCGGTGAGGGAATTCTGCTGTTCACAGAGGTGAATGCTTCTGATGGGATCCCAGGCACCAGTCACGGCCTTGAGTTTTCCAGGAGTTCTTATCGGTTGCGGCCATTTGGTCAGGTTTCCTCCATGTCGGGTCACCATGGGGTCCAGTCTTGTTCCCATGCTGGCCTCGGTTCAGGGTTTCCACAAAGTCACTAGGTTGGGCCTACAAAAGGCCAGAAGGCCTGTGGGCATGTGTGTCCACCGTGGTCCTGGGCGCTAGTCTCATTCACAAGCACTCCACGGGGGTACTTGCAGTCGGTCCAGGCGGGTCTCCTTGATGTCAGGTCACCGTGGGGTCAGATCTAGTTCCTGAACCGACCAGTCCTTGGTTCCAAGTTTCCAAGTTTCCACCTTTCCACGAGGATGTCGGTCTTGCGGGAAGCTGGTAAGCCCTTAATTCACCTGGGCTTGCGGTTCCATCATCAGTAGTCGAGCCTTGTCCGTCGCAGAACCTTTAAACCTGAAAGTAGTTTTAAGAGTGTGTTGTTAGTAATTCTGATAGACTTAAAATTGAGGCATAGAAGAGCAAAACAATTATAAGGTCTGAAAGAATAAGATCTGTAATTGACAGCTCGCAAAATGTCGCCACACTCCAGTGCCATCTTGAAAAATGCTTTAATTTATGTTGTCATCCATTAGAAGCCATTCACCAGTTCGACAAGCAACTTTACAATGAAATGAACAAAGTGGAAGGAAATGCAAACATAAAATCCGAACCAGAGGAACCACATGACAAGGTAATTTGCAGAAACCATCTCAGTTACAAAACATTGGTTAGGCTGCTGTTGAAATGCTGTGTTCTGTTTTAGGAATCCAACTTTCAGAAAGTGTTCAAGACCGTAGTGTTCACAAGAGTTTTAATGCAATGTATGAAAGAACTGATCAAAGTTCTGCAGGGTTTTAATGGGTAGAGGAGGAAGAAAGCTATTTAATATTTAGTGCATCAGTGATTGGAGAAAATAAATTCAACTTCTGTCCTCTGTGGCATGTTATTAATGCACATTTTTGCTGCTCTACTTTTCTAACAGTCACACGAATGCTTCTGAAATCGATTCTGGTTTCATCCTTGCAGTCTCCTGGGAATTGTTATACAGTTCGTTTTTACTGACATAGATCCCATCAGGCACATCACCCATGTATATGCAACGGGGCACCTACCATGAATAAACCTCGATTTGGCAACCACCTGTTTGCTATTAAACACCAAGTTTTGAGTGAATTAGATATTTCTAAAAATGATTATCAGCAATACTAAACCTATTACTGCAGGCATTCCCTGGATCTTCCCCTCTGCTGGTTATTTGGGGAAAACCCCAGTAGAATTTCACCCCATATATTTCAGCTGCTGCTAAAAACACCGCTGTGACTCTTCATTTATTTCTGCCAACATCGACTTTGCCTCCACAAAGCTTCATGAGACAGGCACTGTGGTAAAGATGCTAGTAGAATTCAAGTTGACACTTGAATATTTACCATGCGCAAACCTTTTCTCTATCCCATCTCCTATCCTGGTCTGACTGTGCCCAATTTTGGACTGGCAAAAGGTTGTGGCTGTGAATCTTGCTGTCCAGTCTTATCTATCCTACTAGGAAGTAGAAGAGCTAAACCATGTACATGTAGTAGTACGTTATGCTTCATTGTACAATGGAGTAGTTTGATGTAGGCTTGCACCTGCATATTCTCGTATAGCGAGATCCATAAGAACATAAATCAGAGCAGGACTAGCAAATTTATCCCCTTTAAACCTGCACTGCCAATCAAAATGATCATGATTAATCTAAATCCCACTTTAAATCCCATTCCCTCTTGACTTCCTTGTACATTCAGATTCAATTGGAACATTGCATGAAGATGCAAAATGAAACTAACGAAACACTCTACAGTAGATGAGATAGCTATGTTCTACTCACCTTGTTCAGAGGTGTAAGTACACATCACTCGAGCCAGTGGAACTTAAATCTAGGCCTCCTGTAAGGATATAAGCACTGCAGCACAAGAGCCCTTTCCAATACAGGTTATAGAGTTCCTCAAACCATTCATAACAACTGGTTCTAGAGTCATACAGATGCATAGCACGGAAACAGACCCTTCAGTTCAACTAGTCCATGCCGACCAGATATCCTAAATTAATCTAGTCCTATTTGGCCCATATCCCACTAAACCCTTCCTATTCATATACCCATCCAGAAGCCTTTTAAATGCTGTAACTGTACCAGCCTCCACCACTTCCTCTGGTAGCTCATTCCATACATGCATCACCCCTGCATGAAAATGTTGCCCCTTAGGTCCCTTTTAAATCTTTCTCCTCTCAACTTAAACCTATGCCATCTAGTTTTGGACTCCCCTACTCTTGGGAAAAAGACTTGACTATTCACCCTATCCATGTCCTCATGATTTTGTAAACTTCTAGAAGGTGACTCTTCAGCCACCGACACTCCAGGGAAAATAGCCCCAGCCTATTCAGCCTCTCCCTTTAGCTTGAACATTCCAACCCTTGCGACATCCTTGTAAATCTTTTCTGAACCCTTGAGTTTCACAACATCCTTCCTATAGCAGGGAGGCCAGAATTGAATGTAATATTGCAAAAGTGGCCTAACCAATGTCCTGTACAACCGCAACATGACCCTCCCAACTCCTATTGTCAATGCACTACCCAATAAAGTCAAGCATACCAAACACCACCTTCACTATACTGTCTACTTGTAACTCCACTCCAAGGTCTCTTTGTTCGGCGACACTCCCCAGGACCTTACCATTAAGTGTATAAGTCCTGCCTTGATTTGACCTACCAAAATGCAGCCCCTCACATTTATCTAAATTAAATCCCATCTGCCACTCCTCGGCCCATCTGATCAAGATCCCATTGTACTCAATGGTAACCTTCTTTGCTGTCTGCTACACCTCCAACTTTGGTGTTATCTGCAGAGTCATAGCAGAGAACAGGTTAGTTGTCATGAATGAGCTGGAAAAAGATGAAACTAATGGTGGAATGGGGATTCATTCATCCATATATTTAATATGGTCAGCAAATGTATTTTAATCAAGTGATTCAAATACATGCAAAAATTTGTTACAGTTGCCTCTGAAAGACCTAAAGTGCTGCAAGCCCAAATCTTTTCCAAAATTCCTATTGTTCACCTCCCTGAATGAGCACGTACTTTGGTTAATTTGGAAGAAAAAATCTAACAACAAAATAGAAATAAGAAATAAAAGGCGGGGGAAACGAGAAAATTGTAAGGAAAATACAGATTCACAAGATACGAGATAATGGGAAAGAAAAGAATAATGATACATAGCTATAGAATCTTGAAATCATAGAACTTTATAGTACAGAAAGAGGCCATTCAGCACATCATATCTGTACTGGCTCCTGCCCTTTTCCGTAGCTCTCTGAATTAATCACTTTCAAATATATATCCAGCTCTCTTTTGAAACCTCCTATGGAATCCACCTCCAACACTCTCCCAGGCAGCGCATTCCAAATCCTAACAACTCTCTGAGTAAAGATCTTTTCCTTTATTTCACTCCTAGTTCTCTTGCTGACAATTTTGAAATTGTGACACCTAGTTATAAACCCAAGGCCTTCTTAACAACCATTTCAACTTGCCTGGTCACCTCAAGAGAATTATGCAGTGAATCCTCTGCTCCTGTACTCCCCTGAAAGTTGTACCATTGAGTCTGCATTGTCTGTGTTTCTTCTACCAAAATGCATTACCCTATATTTCTCTGCTTTGAAATTCATCTGCCAGTTCTCTGCCTGTTTGGCCAACTTGTCAATGTCCCTCTGAAGTCCCTCAGTGTCATCCTCACAATTCACTATTCTCCCAAGCTTAATATCATCTGCAAATTTAGAGAATTTACCCACATCACCCATCTCCAAATTATTTATATAATCAGAGAAAACAACGGAGTACAAATCCCTGGGAACACCACTTTCAATTCAGCTCCAGTCTGAGAAATGCCCATGTATACCTACCCTCTTTTTTTTATTCTTTAGCCAAATTCTAATCCATGCTGCCAAGGACCCATCAATCCCAAGCATTTCTAATTTGCTAAACAACCTACCATGTGGCACCATATCAAATAGAAATGATACATTAAGAAATTAGAGTGAAATAGAGAATTGAAACACAATTAAACTTTTAACATGGGCAACTAAATGAGAGACAAAGCATAGAGCCTATTCTTCAGAGATTGTTTTCCAAGAAGAGATGCAGGTCTAGAGTACTTTGAAACAATTAAAACATGCTACCTTGATGCAGTGAGGGGGGGAATGTGGTGGTTAACAACAGAAAGAATGTACCTTGAAATTCATTCGCTTAGAATTGCAAGAAAGTAAGTGCATCTCTTTAAATACAAATCATGGTAATAGTATCATTTCATGTAGCATAGAACTGTGCAGCACAGGAATGGTCCCTTTGACCCATGATGTTGTGTCAAACATGATGCCAAATTAAACTAATCCCTTCTGCCTGCGCTTGGTCTATATCCCTCCATTTCCTGCATATTCATGTTCTTATCTAAAATTCTCTTAAACGCCCCTATCGTATCTGCCTCCACCACTACCCCTGGTAGCGCGTCCCACGCTCCTACTACTCTGTGTAAAAGTCTTGCCCCTCACATCTTTGAACTTGTCCCCTCTCACCTTAAATACATGTCCCCTAGTTTTGGACATTTCAATTCTGGGAAAAAGTTGCTGACCGTCAACCCTATCTATGCATCTCATAATTTTATAGACTTCTATCAAGTCTCCTCTCAGCTCTCACCACTCCAGAGAAAACAACCTGAGTTTTTCTAGCCTGTCTTTATACTTCATACCCTCTAATCTAGGTGGCATTCTGGTAAACCTCTCCAAAGCCTCTGTTGGCTATACCAATGTGGTGGAAGGTGTGCAATCAGTGTAGAATGTGGGTGTACATGTAGTTTAGGTACCTTAATATGGATGCAGCACCAACATGAAGTCATAGAGTCATACAACATGGAAACAGACCCTTCGGTCCAACCAGTCCATGACAACCATATTCCCAAACTGAATTAGTCCTACCTGCCTGCACCTGGCTTATATCCCTCCAAACCTTTTCTATTCATGAACTTATCCAAATTTTTTTTTTTTTAAAAGAGTTGCAACTGTACCCGCATCCACCACTTTCTTTGGCAGTTCATTCCACACACAAACCATCCTCCGTGTAAAAAAGTTGCCCCTCATGTCCTTTTTAAATCTTTCTCCTCTCACCTCAAAAAATATGCCCCCTCATTTTGAACTCCCTCATCCTAGGGAAAAGACCCTTGTCATTCACCTTATCTATGCCCTTTGTGATTTTATAAACTTCTATAAGGTCACCCCTCAACCTCCTATACTCTAGTGAAAAAAGTCCCAACCCTTCCAGTCTATTTTTATATCTCAAACCCTCCATTTCCAGCAATATGTGAACCCTCTCCAGTTTAATAATACCCTTTAGGATGACCAGAACTGCGCACAGCAGTCCAGAAGAGGCCTCATCAATGTCCTGTACAACCTCAACCTGATGTCCCAACTCCTCTCCTCAAAGGTCTGAGCAATGAAGGCAAGCATGCTAAATGCCTTCTTAATCACCTGTCTACCTGTAATGCAAATTATGTACCTGAACTCCTAGGATTCCCTCTGTTCTACGACACTACCCAATGCCCTACCATCAATTGTATAAGCCCTGTCCTTGTACATTTTTCATCTGATGTATCTTTAGTAATTTTCAGGATGTGGCTTACACAGTTACTTGAGTTTGGTGTGTTCAGGTGATAGTACTTTCTTAATGATTTCAATGGCCATCTCTTACAGTTTGCAAAGGTATTACCCTCAGTCTCCCAAAACAAAACCTTGGCAAATGGAGAGCCAACTGAAGCACAAGTGTATAATTCACAGGAAATACAAGCTCTGGTTAAGGTATGGAGGAAAAACAAAAGCTACTGGTATAATATTAGCAAGAAAGTGGCAAATCATACTGTAATTATTATGTAAAATGAAAAAATGGCATTTCTCATTTCAAGAGTCTTTGATTTATTGCTTCCCTCGCCTTCAAGGACACCCAAATGTAGCTCATCCATGGATTTCCAGGCACCCAACTAAGACAGAGCACTACAGGCAGATTATATGAATGACTGCCTTCACCACAAATGTTCCTTTGGAATTCTGATTATTTGATGGTCCTTGATATTAGAACGTTCACTGCCTCACTGCCAGAAACTTAAAGTTGTAACTGAGACTTCTAAGAAGTACACATAAGCTGCCTTACACAAGAAAAAAGTTGTCTCAGTGTTACTTCCAATGCACTGATGAATCTTCCCTCAAGCCTTACAACTTTACAGATGATTGTGCAAAAGATGTTCCCATGTTACTCATTCATTAATTCTATTATATGGATAAGGTTAAAGTTTTTTTTTAAAGGAAAGTTTTTTTTATTTGTAAATGTGGGTGTAGTTGACTAAGCCAGCATTTATTGTCTCTTCCTAATTGACATTGACCTTTCTGAATTGTTTCAGTCCAAGTCATGTAGGTACACCCCACAGTATCTTTGAAGATGTTGTTATATATTCTGAAAGTGCCAAGATTGGAATAAGACATTCTGCACTGATGGGCTACCACTGCTGCTGTGGAGTTCCTCCACAGTATACTTGCTTTCTATCTCACCAACAGAATTCCCATCCAAAACTCAGCCTGACCGACAGACTTTAGACTGTGGGGAGCACTGCGGCAGTCTCTATAGTCTAGGAATGTATAGGTTTCCTTTGTTTTCTCCTTTTTTCCTTTTGATTCCTAGGTTTGGAGTTTAGGCACCAGGTGGCTAGAGACAGATTGAGGCCAAAATAGAGGGTCAGAGGTATATAGGGCTAAGTCTTCATGGGATGGACATAGTATCATGGGTGAGTTTGGGGAGACAGGGACTGACCATAGGTGGGATGCATCTGATCAAGGGGAAGTTTACAAAGCCAGGGGTTGGAGAGGGGAACATTGCTGCTCCTTTTGGTGTGCAATCTGTAGTAGAAAGGTACTTACACAAACATTTCCTCACCTCCCTTCAACTGCTCAGTTTCCTAACCAAACAGACGGTACTTCCCTTCTCTTGGAGCACCCTTGTCACTGAGTCATAGAGAGTGGCTTTAAGCTGCACTCCAGCAGGCGAGCACAGCTCCAGTGAAACCTGCAACACAGATAAATTCTGAGGCAGTACAGCCACAGTAAAGAATCTAAATGAACAACTCACATTTAGGTCCAGTTTGTTGCCTAACTCCTTTCAGTCTCAGTTAAAACTTAAAGTATCTGAGTTTGAAGTCACCTGGGCTGGTTTTGAGATTTTTTTTATTTTTCACATCCCACAATGTACAAATCCATCCATTTTTTGGGGGGTTAGAGTTCCCCTGTAACACACTGTGACGTGTCAGCCTGCAATCTGTGCTCAACTGCCGGAGTGCAGCTCAAACCCACTGTCTTATGACTCAGTGACAAAAGTGCTCCGAAAGAAGGGAGGAACTTTCAGTTTACAGGACTGGAAATTAGCTATATTAGATTTTCCATCCATTGTTCACTCAACCTCTTCAAACTTCCAATTGGAACCAAAATATCTTTTAAAATCCATAAGCAGAGTTTGAAGCAACTTGATGAGATCTCTCACAGAATACTCATCAAATCCAGGAGCAATCTGTAAACGAGATTATAATTTGCCATCCCACTTAATTTACTGATATTGCAACTGTTCAAGTTCAATGGAAGCAAACAAATGGTATTTAAGTGGCATTTCCCTTCATGGTTTGGTGCATAGAGAGTAAACAAAATTTGGTCTGGTCTATGAAGTGATATTGTATGAAGCAATTGAATTTAGAGGAATCATTAGTTCAGGGCAGGGATTAGTGATGTGCAACTTGCTCGTTCCCCTTTCCATGGAAACGATGGAAAATGGCTGCTCTATTTGGTGAAAATTGAAAGAAAAGGCATCAATAATGTAAAATGCAGGCCGGGTAATGAAATTAATAAAAGGAAATTTAAAGAAAGTTCCTAATCAATAAGGGAGAGAGCTTGAGGACAATGAATCCAAGGATGATTTTCTCTCCTGAAAGAAAATATTCAACTCTGGATTGTGACCAATAGAAAAAATACAATCTGTTGATATTGTGCCAAAGTGCAGAATTCTCTGAAACAGGCAGAATTCAACCTTTGTGCAGCCTCCTCATTTCAGTGTTCTCAGTATGCAGCCTAACAGAGCTCATGCTGCTGGCTGACACTTTGCTCAATGGAGGGAAGTAGCAACATGTGAGGCTTGCAGGGTGCAGTGATTGATAAGAGGTCAGCTAGATGGACCTCACAGAATATGAGTTCTCTGATTGGGGCTGTTCATCTCATCCAAGCAGGGAGCCCTGGCTGACAGATAAGAACAGGAGTGTCAGACGTCTGTTCACTTAGAGTGGCTCTGAGGGAGCTGGATCAGTGTCAAGGGCTCTCCTCATGCAAATAAAGGGTGACTTGGTGATGGGATACCAGCCCCTGTGGAGTAATTTCACAGGGTGTTCCAGCCAGCCTCTCACTCTTAAAAGGAAGTCTGTCCCTCTTAAGGAAAGCTGCCACTGACTGCCAGCAAAGAGAAAATGCAGGACACAGTCTGGAGGAGAGCTTCACTGTTCATGGATGTGCACCGAGGGCCCTAGGCGGCTGGTGGACAGGAGAGAGAGCTCACGTTTTCACAGGAGTTAAAGGAGGTTTGAAGCATTTCCTTCTGAAGGGATTGGGTTTGGTAGCTCGGGAGATTACCCCTGCAGACTTTTCCAGAGAGACTGGCAGCAATACCAATATAAGGCTGGTTAAATTCACTGAAAGCATCCTACCCGTCACACCACCAAGCTCTGACTCTGCTCAATGCACTACATTGCTCCACTCCATAATTTAGCCATCTGTAGTTGCTAACATTCCTAATCTACAAGAGAGATGTAAACACCCAGCAGGGACTGATGATACCTTCATCCTCTCCGTGTCATGTGCGACAGCCTATTTGTCTATCTGAATGTATTGTTGGATAAAAATGTTGCCATGAAGAAAGACAAAGATGAAACAAAGCCAACCATCAAGTATGCTTCAAAAGCCGAAAGATGCCAAAAAGACAGAATTAGGGGCATGCTATCTGAATACATGCAGCATTCGCAACACGGTGGATGATCTGAAGGCATAAGTAGAGATACATGAGTATCCGCTAATTAATAATGTTGTAAAAGAACCTCTCAGGATAGTGTTTTATATTATGTTTGAAAGTGAGATGGCTCATTCTGAAGCAAGTGTTTTAAATTTGAAGGGAAATGATGAAGGCACGAGACACAAATTGGCTGAGTGGATTTGTAAAGTTCATTAAAATGCATGACTGTGTCTAGGTAATGGATAGGCTTCTTTTACATGACGTACAGAAACTATATGTTCCTTTAAGAGTGTATAAATTCAAAAAAAAGGTCAGTCAACCATGTCTAACAAGGGAAGTTCAGAATTGTAAATGATTAAAACAAATGACTTGAAAGTTGCCAGAAATTGCAGTAATCCTGAGGATTGGGAGGTTTGTAGACCAGCAGAGGACCCAGAAACTGATAAGGAAATGGAGAGTAGCAAATTAATAAAAGAAAACATGAAAACAGACTGACGAAAGCTTCTATAGGTACATAAAAAGGAAATGTTTGGCTAAAACAAATGTGGGTCCATTGCAGACAAAGCCAGGAGAATTTATAGTAGCAAATAGGGAAGTGTTAGAGAAACTAACTTATTACTTTGTATCTGTTTTCACTGAGAAAGACACCAGAAGTCTCCCAGAACTGGAGATCCAATTGGCAAGGGAGAATGAGGAGTTGAAGAAAATTAGCAGTAGTAACAACGTTGTACTGGAGAACAAATAAACTCACAGGACCAAATGCTTTACATCCTAGAGTTGTCAAGAAGGTGGCTATAGAGTCAGTCGATGAATTGGTGATTACCTTCAAAAATTCTGTACATAAATTTAGTAAATATGGATGTAAGCATTTACTTGTTGCAATTAGGGTATCTTTCACTTCTGTTTCACTGTCTTTTTCCCAACCCAAATTTAGAAAGTTAACATCATGCAGGGTAGCATCATCCATATCAGAGAAAATCTGAATTTAATGCAGGCTAAATGTGAAGAGTTCGCCGGAAATGTGGAGGACAAGTCAACCGATAACCAGGTAATAAATATATATGTTTACTTCATTATTTGCTAGGACAGTTAGAAGTATTTTAAGTTCTACACTAACCAAGTTTGATGTACAAGGCTGCAGACTTACAAACCAATAAAACACTACACCTTGTAATCAGTGAATTGTAAAGATCTGCTGTTAGATTTCACTTAACCTTGTGATTAAATCCAATGGTAAGAGATTCTTCATTTTTGATCAAATAAATGACTGCTAGATATTTTGCAACCTTTATTTAAAATTGGCAGTATTAGGTACATTGTGCATCTGCATTTGCTGATCATACTGTAATTAATTCTGCAGTACAGATTGCTTTCCAGTAGAATGCATAACTTAAAAGAATAACTGCAACTAAATAGTACTGTTCTGGTGATGAAGCCATTCATTTGATAAGAAGTAAATGATCTGCAAATTCTCCTCAATTAACATTTAGTTGAATGATCACCAATAAGGAATATCAATCTTTTGCAAATTATCCAGCCTTTTATTATTCACAATCTTCAGACCAATCAATGTGCAACCAAAAAGTTATTAAAACATAAAACATATGGATTGCCAACTGAAAGAAAGATGACAAGAACATTAACTGACAAATACAAAGATATTACTTTTATGTGATAAAGTACAGTCAGACTGTGATTTTGCTCTGGACATAGCAATGGCACAATTTTACAAGCATTCCAAATAGGAAAAAGGAAAAATTATTGATTGAAGTGATTTTGAATCTAACTTGCAGCATCAATAAAATATAATTACTATAGATTTGAAACAGGCAACTATTCAGTGGAGAAATGTTAGTGCCACAAATGGAGCAATTAGTTACCCATCCTCAGATCTTTAGAATATTCTAAAACACCTCACAGCCCATGAATTATTTTGAGATATAGTCAGATCGACAGCCCGTTGTGCACAGCATGGACCCACCAATAGAAATAGAATAAATGGCTGAATGTTGGCAATATTGATTGAGGGATAAATACCAGCCAGGTTATGGATAGAATGCCTGCTCTTCTTTCCATTATACTTTGGGATTATTAATTTCTACAAGGTAGATGGGATCTTGGTTTAACATTCCAATTGTGAGGCAGCATCTTCATCAATACTGCACTGAGATTATGTGCTTAAGTGTCTAAAGTGAAGTTTGAACAAATGACTTTCCAATTCAGAGGTAACTGTATCACCATTTGGTGAGGGTAATTGTATCACCATTTGGTCAGGGTAGAAACTGGGATGGTTTGGGGATGTGGTGGTGGGAAAAACAGGTAAAGTAGTTCTGGTGGGTAATTGGAAAAACACTTACCTCCTGGATTCAGCAGGTCTTGCCTCCTTTCAGCCATTTGGTTTCGTGAGGACAGGGAAACCTACTATTTGGATTATCTGTAAAAACAGTAGTTCAGCATAAAGCACAAAGTTGCCCAAACCCAGCCCTTCTTTGTCCAAGCTGGAAGTGAGAGGGTTGGGTCAAGATTCAGATTTTTAATGTCAATGTACTACCTGACCCAAACCAAACTGTTTTTGAAAGTTAAAATTCTCCCCAAATATGCTAGTCAAAGTACTAAAATATTAAATGCAAATATTACTACTCACTTTCAAGTTGTATTATTACAGAGTCTGATTGATTGATTTGTGATAGCTGTTCAAAGACGATTTGAGCCTTTAAACAATTCATTAATTATTTTATTCATTCAAGTATCATTAAATCTGGGAAAATTGTTTTATTTTTCTCATTATTTTCACTCCCTAAGTGTAATAATCATTTTCTCCCTCATTGTTATTTTGGACAAGTTAGTTAAGTGGGCAAATACATGACAGATGTAGTATAATATGGATAATGAGGGTTATCCATATGACAGGATGACATGGTGGCTCAGTGGTTAGCACTGCTGCCTCACAGCACCAGAGACTCGGGTTCGATTCCAGCCTCAGGCAACTGTCTGTGTGGAGTTTGCACATTCTCCCTGTGTCTGCGTGGGTTTCCTCCCACAGTTCACAAATGTGCAGGTTAGGTGCATTGGCCATGCTAAATTGCCCATAGTGTTCAGGAATGTATAGGTTAGGTGGTTTAGCAATGGGAAATGTAGATTTACAGAGTAGGGGGCGGTGAGTTGGTGTGGACTTGTTGGGCTAAATGGTCTATTTCTACACTAGATGGATTCTATCCATTTTGGTAGCAAAAACAGGAAGGATGATTATTATCTGAATGGCTATAGATTGGGAAAGGGGAGGTGCCGAGAGACCTGGGCATCCTTGTATACCAGTTGCTGAAAATAAGGATGCAGGCGGTGAAGAGGGGAAATGGTATGTTGACCTTCATTGTGAGAGGATTTGAGAACAGGAGTAGAGTTGTCTTGCTGCAACTCTACAGGGTCTTGGTAAGACAACACCTGGAGTATTGCAATCAGTTTTGGTCTCCTTATGTGAGGAAGGATATTGGGGCTATTGAGGGAGTGCAAACAAGGTTTACCAGTCTGATTCCTGCGATGGCAGGACTGATGTACAGGGAGAGACAGGATCAGTTAGGACTATATTCTCTCAAGTTTAGAAGAATGAGGGGTAATCTCTTAGAAATCTATAAAATTCCAACAAGATTAGACAGGCTGAATACAGGAAGGATGTTCTGAATTGCCAGGGAGTACAGAATCACAGTCTCAAAATAACAGGTAGACCATTTAAGACTGAAATGAGGCAGAATTTCCTCACCCAGATAGTTGTGAGCCTTCCATAGGAAACTGTTGAGCATCAAACATTGAAGACTTTCAAGGAAGATATAGATATAGTTCTTAGGACTAAAGAGATCCAAGGGTATGGGAGCAAAGTTGGAACAAGGTACTGAATTGGATGATCGACGTGATCATATTGAATGGTGGAACAGGCTCGAAGGGCTGACTGGCCTACTCCTGCTCCTGTATTTGACATTTCTATTGCAATGAAAAGAGGTAGACCCTTGGAAAACAAAAGATACAGCATGGAAAGAGTGCCTACATTCTGTCTCCCAAACAACTGAATTCATTCACTGATCTGATTCAGAGATAGTGCAGAATACAAGTGTGTGCATAAAGTGTATATTGCACAAGAACAGACTTATATTCAGACAGTACTGATATCATAATGTATTTTACCTCAATACATTTTTTTCTGATACCAGGAGAAATTAAAAATAATGTCAATGTATTTCTGTTTTGCACAGGAGTTTTCCAGACTGTACAAATTGGTGCAGAAATTGAATGTGTCTACAGTTTCCAGTACCCTGGAAATAAAGGATGAAATTCATGAACTTCGCAACCTAACAGCTGAACTCACCCACCAGTTCAGATCCATGGAAACAAATCTGCATTCTCTTAGAGACCTGACAAACATACAGGTTTACTGTCATATTTCACGATCATTTCTTTAGATAGTGCTTATGATATTAGTGTAATATCATAACTTACCTGTGAACTAGGTAAACTAGTAGGAGCTCAGCATGAAAATAGCTCAACAACTAACAAACAGAATCAAGTTAGTTGCACTATAGAAGGTGGATTGAACAGTAGAAAACAGGAGGAAAAAGTAACAATTAAATGGGGTCACTATGATTAGTCAGGTTGGAGTAGAGCAAGGACAGGTTCATGAAGTTTTACAGTAGAGGAGATATGGAAGATGGCTTTTTCTTCTGGACCAGTTGCTGCAGAAAGATCAGGAAGGGCCTGGCAGAATATTGGACTGTAGTCACAGTTTCAAAGGATGTTATTTGTGACTTTGGCTAGGGTAGGCTTGGTGCTGTGAGAAGAATGAGAACCAGATTGGAAACAGCCAGACTAGGACTTTCAATAAGGTACTTGTATTTAATTTAAATGACTTGGCCTATCCCTGCAGAATATATAGTCCATATGGGGTCAATTGCATATCAAAACATAAAAGGCCATTTTCTGTGATTGATTCTGGAATTTAATCCCATTATCACATTAACAAAAAAAACAATTACAGACCCTATTAAAAGAATGGAGTGAGCAATTTAATATGTGCAAAAATGGTTATAATGTGCAGTCATTTTTACTCATTTTACCTTGTGTACAGTACTTCAAATGATGACATCGAAGACAGTCATTGACTAGCTTTGATTCTTTTGCCTTTGGTTGACTCTGCAATCCTTTAGTCTGTCTTGAGTCACGACTATGTTGTCTCCTTAACCTGTTACTCATTCATTGATACAAGGATGTCTGCAGGAAACATTCAAATTATCACACCATCTTGTTTTCAACTTAACAGGAAAAATTCACATACAGATGTAGAATGACATTGTGAATCTTGAAAGTGAGCTCTTTACTATCAATTGTTCAGAAAGTTAGCTGTGTTTCTTTCAGATACAGTAAGGTATCCCAATTTTTTTTAAGGTTACTGAACTAGAACAGTTTGAAGAATCATTGGAAAGAATGCACAACATGTCAGAGAATTTGAAATCTCACCAAAGTCAACTGGAACAGGTTAGTGTTGTTTCTTCAGACTATTCCTAAAGTACTTTCAACTAACTAAGTGTAAAACTTTGATTACTGAACAAATCACTGATTTTTAGAAGCAGTCTGCTCAGTGTTTTTTAAATTAATTTTCGCGGTGAGAGTCGTTAGCAAGGCCAGCATTTATTATATGTTCCTAATTGCCTTTACAAAGATGGTCAGGAGCTGCCTTCTTGAACCATTTGATTTAGGTACGTCCTCAGTGCTATTAGGACCATGTTTGAGGATTTTGACTCAGTGGCAGTGAAGCAATGGGAATATAATTCCAGTTCAGATGATGTGTGGTTTAGAGGGTTTGTTGAAGGTGATGGTATTCCTGTGTATCTGCTGCCCATGTGTTTCTAGGTGGTAGAGGTTGTAGGTTTTGAAAATGCTGTCAAAGAGACTTTGAGTTGTTGTTATCTGTAAACATTGCAAACATTGTAAACAATGTAAATCTGTAAACAATGTAAACATTGCTATCATTATACTCCAGTGATCATAGAGTTATAAAGTATGGAAGCAGACCCTTCAGTTCAACTCATCCATGCCGACCAGATATCCTACACATATCTAGTCCTATTTGCCAGTATTTGGCAATCCCTCTAGACCATTCCTTTTCATATACCCATTGAGATCCCTTTTAAACATTGTAATTGTACCAGCCTCCACCACCTCCTCCGGCAGCTTGTTCCATATATGCACCACCATCTCCATGAAAAAGTTGCCACTCAGATCCTTTTTAAATCTTTCCCCTCCAACCTTAAACCTATGCCCTCTAGTTTTGGACTCCCCTACCTCGGGAAATAGACCTTGCCTATTCACTCTATCCATGTCCCTCATAATTTTATAAACCTCTGTAAGGTCACCCCTCAGCCTCTGATGCTCCACGGAAAAAGCCGCAGCCTATTTAGCCTCTCCTTATAGCTCAAATCCCAGCAACATGCTTGTAAATTTTTTCTAAACTCTTTTAAGCTTAACACCATTTTTTTATAGCAGGGAAACCAGAGTTGAATGCAGTATTCTAAAAGTAACCTCACCAGTGTCTTATACAGCCACAACATGACATCCCATGGTGTAGTGGACAGCGGAGGAGATTATCTCAGAGTACAACAGACCCTGATCAGATGGGCCAAGGAGTAGCAGATGGAGTTTAATTTAGATAAATGTGAGGTGTTGTGTTTTGGTACAGCAAACCAGGGCAGGACTTGTACAGTTAACGGTAGGGCCCTGGGAAGTGTTGCCGAACAAAGAGACCTTGGGATACAGGTGCATTGTTCCTGGAAAGTGGAGTCACAGGTGGACAGGATGGTGAAGAAAGCATTTAGCATGCTTGCCTTCATTAGTGAATGGTGGTAGGAGTGAATGCACAATGTGGGGAATGGTATGCTGATTGTGTGAAGTGCTTTGTTCTGAATCTGTTGTGTTTCTTGAATGTGCACTCATCCAGTGAACTGGTAAGTAATCATTTCCAGTTCAAAGCATCAAACCTTGCTAGAGCATGACAGAGAATATATTTTGATACCTAACAAGAGATTTTCATCAGTTAGATTGATGGTATCTTTACAAACTCTCAAATAGCAGATAAAAAACGAAGTTTAAAATCTTCCAATTTTTCTGAGTTGAGTTGAACTGAACCATAAATCCCTTAACTTTAAAGAGTTTCTTTTGTTGAGTGAGATTCATAGAAACTACATGGAAGTAACAAAGAGAGATTATCCAATTGTAGGAGATAACACAGTGTGGAGCTGGATGAACACAGCAGGCCAGGCAGCATCAGAGAAACAGGAAAGCTGATGTTTCGGGTCTGGACTCTTCTTCAGAACTGAAATGTCAGCTTTCCTGCTCCTCTGATGCTGCTTGGCCTGTGTGTTCATCCAGCTCCACACATTGTTATCTCAGATTCTCCAGCATCGGCAGTTCCTACGATCTCTTATCCAGTTGTACGTATGTTTTGATGTTTTAGTTGCAGAGTTCAAAGAAGGAGTTAAGTCTTGCAATCATACTTACAATTAAGGTGATACAAGATAATGCACAGTGATACAATGCACTTTTTAAATCTCGAAGCCACTTAACAGCTTTTTGAAGTGCAGTCACTGTGGTGATGTAAGAATAACCAAATTCAAATTTATGCTTTACACCACTGCGTTTCTGGAAATTGATTGCCTTCTGTCAAACTAACCATGAATATTGTCTGCAGGAGCTAAAAATCTTCCTAAACACAATGATTAATGAATGATTGAGATAACACAGTGTGGAGCTGGAGGAGCACAGCGGGCCAGGCAGCATCAGAGGAGCAGGAAGGTTGATGTGTCGGGTCGGGACACTTCTTCAGAAAAATGTGCTTCTTCAGATCCACACTGTGTTATCTCTGACTCCAGCATCAGCAGTTCTTACTACCTCTACTAATGAATGACTGTTACTTTATAGGAAGTTTTCTCTTGTGTTAAGCATAATGCTTTCATCATTAACCCATGTTGAAGCTAATTGGGGGTGTTACATTTTTGTGGGGTGCCTTCTACCTTTCTACTGAACCTCTATGCGTGAATGGAGAGTGAGACATTAAGAAGAAAAATCTAGCTTATTGTGTTAAAGTAGGGGAGAAGTCTAACTGGCCAAGACTGCTCTGGCACATACATCAGCATTTTTCAGATCATTGATGCTACATCACAGATGAGCATCTTAAGTTGATTATTGTTTAAATTCCTCTGGTCCAGCGATGTAAATGAATACAAATTCATGATTGCTGACTGAAGCTTGGTTGTAGTGCAGAATCACTTGAGCTTCCAAATGGTTTGCATCATGTTATCTCTTGTAGGATTTGGATAGCAATTTCCAACAGATCTCACAGTTGAAGGATGAGATTTATCAAAGAGAAGATGCATTGAATCAAACAAGCCAGCCCTCTGCAACCATAGCACAACTCCAAATTGAAAGTACTCCATACACACTCCCACAGCAGCTGGAAAGTTCCAAAGTCACATCATTAATGAGCCATGAGGATGATGGAAAACTAGGTAACCACTTATGCTGTGATTCTGTTTATGCATAATTTAGAAATTGAATTATATCAAACACAATTTGTTCATATAACTGTAAAACTGCCTTGTAAGTACTTTGTAATCAGATAATCTAAAATGTATTTCAAGCAATAATCAAGATAATATGTTAATATCTCACAAATTGTTAAATGAAATTTTCACATTAATGCTGTTGCAGTTTCAGTGATACGAAACATCTGTTATTTCACTTTCAGATGTCCAGACACCTCCCACAGAAAACACCTCACTTAAATCTGTGCTCAGAAATATCATTTCAATTCCTTCAATAACAAATTTGAAAGGTGGGAAATATATTAATGTTCAATTCTACTTTAAAAATTCCTCCTTTAGGAATCATAAAGCCTTTCTTCTGACATATACAAATCACAAAAACAACTATATACTATGTATATAAATAAAAAATTCTTCCGCAGGCAACTTTACAAGGTGCACAGAAGTCGACATATTTAATTATAATGGTGTTTCATGATATATCGTATGTTTAGTTCTAAAAAGCTCTAATTCACCAGGAGCAACACCATGGGAGATCCACTAACATGCTAATAAAACAGTTGTTAGTTTCATATAATTGAGAATAACTCTCAATAAGAATTGACCTTTTGCATTTAATAAATTAATCCAGAGTTTATAAAATGCACACTCCCATTGAGAAGCTCCAGCGTCCACCACTTCACATCAGGAAATTGTGATTCCAGATTACACATTGCTATTTTACTGTTTTTTTTTAGTATCACAGTGTGAAATAAGATTATCTGGCACTCCATAATTAGAAAAACTAATTTTTGATCAACGTGCATGATCTTTGCCTTCTAACAGCACTGCAGTCCTTTTTCTATGGTGCAGACTGGACTGGGCATGGCTACCTAACATATAGGGACCTAGTGAATACTCTTGGTAGATGGGCACCAACCGAAGAAAACATTAAACAGTTTGATGAAAATAACGATGACAGATTCTCCTATACAGAGATGATAAAGGCTTTAGGCCTACAAGGTAAGAACATGGGAACAATAGTTAGTTATTATTACATTTCAAGAAAACCTCTTGGCAATATTAATTAAAATAAAAAACCTAGCAGGTAACTTGAGGAAAATGACAAATTTTATATCATTAAAAATCATTAAAAGTAATTTTTCTATGTTTATATTATGTTGACTATTTTCCTTTGAACTACTTAAAAGTTAAAAATTATTTCATCTTCTCCACTTACTAAGGTTTGGGGAATGAGTAAATATTAGGAATTATTGTCAGTATCAGCAACTGAGAAAGCTACTGAAGAATTGCCCAGCACATCACACAGATGTTCCCCAGTAAGGCTAAACCATCTTCAGCCACATCAGTGATGTCCATCTCATTCATGAGGTTAGGAGTGGGGGCTGTTAATTTGAAGACTATATCAGTTGTTTGAAATTTTCTAAATCTTGGAGAAGTCTACCTGCTCCACATGCATACTTATGCACCAATACTCAAGGAATTTGGCTTTCTTGACAGCGAACATTACTATACATTTTCTGCTTACATTAACAAAAATTACCCAATATTGCAAATAAATCTATTGGTTCTAAGCCATAGAAAAACCATTCCCACGAACAAGTACTCAGACTGTAATTCTGAATGAGTTGCAGTTTGTGGAGGAAGTGGGATCATATCAGACAAATTCATCAAAAAAAAACCTAATGTATGATTCTATTGTAGAGGGTATGGTAAGACCATGAAAGAATAGCATTCCAGATATAGATGGACAATTATTGGTCCTTTGTTTTTCTTTAAACGTGCGTTTTCTATCCAGTGTCGCAATTTGCACTGTTTAAACTGAACTAACACCTGGAAAGTTGATTAGGTTAACATCGGAGGTACTCAGGTGGTGGCAAGTGTTGAGAAAGTTGCAAATCATGTTGAGAGAAGAGATAAGGATCGAGATTAGACACCAGTTTTACAAAGGTTAAGAACAATTCTTTAAGAAATAGAGAAAAAGGTCCAGGTCAGCAAGCACAGACCCAAGAAGGTGAGAAGTAGTCGTGTAAGTATTGCAAGTTTATATGAATGGATGAAACATGAAGAGAACGATTGGAGGATTGGAGAGATAAACAATTAGAAGTTCTTAATGTTAGAAATGTAGACCATCATATTTAGAATCTGAAGCAAGGGTGGAAGATGTTGGAAGAGGTCATCATTATTGGTTTTGAAAAGTCCTTGTCTGCTATTACTTCTATGAAAACAAAAGGTAAAAGAGGCCAACGTCTGGGAAAAATCCACTTTTACTTACTTTGATTTTTAAGAATTTCAAGGAATATGGAGATTTATTTATAATATTTATTTTCCAGAAGAAATCTGAAAATCAACTTGATGAAGAAGAGATATCTACACAATTATCTTATCATTTCAAAACCAGACTAACACCTACATCAATGCTTTGCACTAACATTAAAGGACCTTATCTATAGTAGAAATTAAAGAAAAAAATAGAAATGCTAATACTAGATTCAGAAAATAAACTCATACTATTTTTAGCAAGGATAAAATCTTTGGTTTGAAGCATCTAATCCAACATTTCTTTGCAGTTAGAATGGTTAAATATCGCAGCTTAGGTTTTAAAAATATTTTATGTTGAATAGTTCCTATATTTAATTTAACATATGCTTTGTAGTTAATAATTTGTTTCATAAGTACATAATTTGAAAATGTGTCTAATTTAACAAATAATGATATAAAATAAAATTCTTGCTTTGAAAATAATTTTTCATTTCATTTACAACATTAAAAAAACCTCCTAAATGTTACATCTTCAAGCATTATGAACTAAGTATGTGTTCGTCATAAATAAAAAAAACTTTTTAAAATGCAGCTGTCTATTTCCCTTGGGTTCTTTCACTCATCCAGAGGAATATCACAGATTTTCCATAGTTTCTACTGCTCTTTCATCAATGCTAATTTCATTTGGGTCAGTCTTGGTTCCTTTAAAGCATGTCTTATCACTTTTGACGGGCTTTTGACATGACTGGATCAGATTGAAACCAACGCAGTGTTAAGCTGAGTTGAAGAGTCCTGGAATCATATGAACATACATACAAGTGCGGAGCAGACCTTTTAGTCTTTTCAACTGACTGCCATTTAATAAGATTGTGGTCTCAAATCTACATTACTGTCTGACCTAATAATCTTGGACTCCCTTGTTAGTCATGGCATTAGACAATCGAATATGAAGTTGTATTTGACTGGTTACCTTAAACTAGCGATCTTAATTATTTTTGAAAATGTATATAAAAATTCTCATCTATCACACAATAAGCATAATAACTCCAGCATCTGCAGTTCCTACTATCTCTAAGCATAATAACCTGATCGTTTCAGCCCCATGAACTATGTGCTTTCCACTACTTAAGTAAACTTACAATTTAAAAACAAATTCCCTGTACTAAGTATATTTATGGTCTCACATTTATTATGACTTGAAATATTCTATGACTTTTCCATTTCGGTAATGAAAGAAGTGATATAAAAACAATCACTACGACAATGGACATTCTGATGATGATAATCTGGGCTGTTTATCACTTGCATTTGGAGCTCAAGCAGGCTGGCTGCTTCTCCATTCAGCTCGTGACCACATGAAAACTCCATGATTCTCATCCATGCAGCTTTGAAGTTGGCCATTCGATGTTCCATAGTCCTCTAGGTGTTTCTGCAGAACCATGAAAACTGACTCTAAACTCTTTCATAAGATGGTCTCTTTTTTTGCACATTACTAGATTTAAAGCTCAGAAGCTAACAATTTAAATATTAATAGAGCACTTTTTTTTGTTTTAAGAACACATTTTAAGGGCATAATTTTAAGTTGACAAGGGAAAGATTTAGAAAGGGACTTGAGGGCCAACTTTTTCACACAGAAGGTGGTTTCTATGTGGAATGAACTGCTAGAGGAAGTGGTAGTGGTATAGTTACAACATTTAAAAAACATTTGGACAGGTACATAAATAGGAAAGGTTTAGAGGATATGGGCCAAACGCAGGCAAATAGGACTAGTTTAGTTTGGGAAACTTGGTCGGCACGGACAAGTTGGAGTGAAAGGTCTGTTTCTATTCTGTGTGACTATGACTACAACAGAAACCTTGATAAAAGTATACATCAAGAAACCAGTAACATTATTTATTGACTATGCTTTCATTATGCAAGTAATGTTCCAGGAGAAACCCAAATTATGTTCTCATCATAAAGACTATAAAGAAATAAAATTATACTGCAATATGTTGAAATAATATGACTTGCACAAGTCAAAATTTATTGATAGGGTTTGAATGCCATGAAACAAATGGAACATTAGGATCGAAAAAGAAACAGGTTATTTATTAACACAAATCTTGGAATAATGTAGGTCTTTATTTAACCTAATCAAGTCGTTCAGAGATGTTATTACACACCTCTGGAGCAGGTGGGACTTGAACCCAGGCCTCCTACTCCAGGGGTAGGGACATACCATTGCACCACAACGGGGCCTTAAGGATTAAGTAGTTGTTATGAATTACAAACCCTTTGAGATTTCTTTTTTTTTGATCACTGTCTCCCCATAAAAGGGAAGATTATTGTGTGAACAGCATTGTTGGATTGGGGGTAATGAGATTTCTGGAAACAAAGGAGCATTGAATTAGATAGTATTCACAACCCAGTCTCACTGTTCTTGTTATTGTTAGATTCTTAAGCACTTTTCCAGTAACTTCTCAGTTGCATGTTTTTTTTTAATTAAATAATATTGAAAAATCTACTTACAGACTTTATGGTTTTCAGTCTCATTAGTGCCTTCACTGAATATTCATTTTCTCCAGAGAAGAGACATTACTAATTTTCAAATTGAACCATAATAAACAGGTTCTAAGCAATGTTATCACTTTTCTTCAAAATTTTGAAAATGTCAATAGGGTCAATACTGTTTTCAAAGAGAACAAAGCCAACTTTGATAAGTGCTTTTGATGTGACAGTTAAACACAGCAGTTAATTGGACCCTTACTGGTTTGGCCTACATGTGACTGTAGACCCACAGCAATATTGTTGACTCTTAACTGCCCACTGGGCAATTAGGGATGGGCAATAAATGTTGGCCTGCTCAGCGATGCCCACATTGCATGAACTAATAAAAGGCTTGTAGACTTTGAGATACATAACAGGGAAGATCACTAGAAAATTGCATTTTTTGATGTTAATATTTATAGAAGTTATTGCCATTGATAGCTAAATATCCATCCCATGCACTTTGAAATTTCGCCTGGTCTTTAGCCTTCAATACCACCTTTACGTGGCTGGTTTTGATTCTGATGTCCCAAACTCTGCTCATGATAGTCTGCATTTTCCCAATGAAAAGGATAACAAATAAGGTGTTAGCCTTGATTCAGTGGGTTTTTTTTCTCTCAGAACATATTCTGGTCTCACTCTTTGATATAACATTAAAAGAATTGGATTGTTGAAGGTGGCATCTTTCAGATGAGACATTTAAGCTAGTTCTGCCCATCATCCCCACTGGAAAAAGCTTCATTGCACTATTTCAAGAACAGGAGAGTCCAGCGTTGTCCACAACATTGGTGTGCACAAATTAGCTGATGTACTTCCCTTACACTGCAAGAGTGACTACAGATCAAAAGTAATTCATTAGCTGTGAAGGGTTTTTTTGACAAAATTTGTAGACAGTGCTATATAGATGCAAGTTATTTCTAAACTCCAAACACTCTGCTAACATCGACAATAAATAACACCTTCGTTTTCACCAAATACACCTCAGCTGGAGTACTGTGTACATCATGGGTGTTACATTAAGGAGCAAAAGAAATTTACAAGAATGATTCCAAGGATGAGAAACTTCAGTAATGAGGATAGATAGAAGAAGTTGGTAACTGTTGAAGCTGTTCTCCTTGGAGAGAAGAAAGCTGCGAGGAGATTTGATAGAGGTTTTCAAAATCATGAGTGAACTAGATAGAGTAGTTAGAGAGATGCTGTTCCTGTTTCTAAAAGAGGAAGGAACAAGAGGTCATGGATTTAAAGTGATGTGCGAACAAAGCAAAGGTGATGCGAGAGAAAAAAAAAACTTTTGACAGCAAGTACTTCAGGTATGGTATACACTGCCTGGAAATTTCATGGAGGCAGGTTCAATTGAGGCATTCAAGAGGGTATTAGATGAATATTTGGTTAGAAATGGTGTGCAGGGATATGGGAAAAAGGCAGAGATTGACACCAGGTAATAATGATGATAATAATTAAAAAAACTAAGTAAGAGGCCAAATGGTCTCCTTCTGTGCCACAACAATTTTATGATTCTGTGATATTTTAGCCTCGCTATTTTTTGGTTCGGTATTATTATTATTTCCATATTCCCTCATTGTCTAATTGGCCAGATTAATTTTGGCTTCTTTCTTCCTGATTCTATACCTAAAAGTGCTCTTGCTATCTGTCATGACATTACTTGCAATTTACCCTCAAAGGTTACATTCTGCCACTTTTTTTTTTGGTTTTCATGCTTGTTTTCTTTCCTAATCCTCTAGCTTACCACTAATCTTTGCTAAATTGTATATTCATTTTCTTACAATTTGATGTTAGCCTTAAGTTTGCTGGTTAACCATGGTTGGCTTATCTCTTTTCTAGAATTCTTACTTCTCTCTTGGATATATCATTGTTGTGAGGCATGAACTATTTTCTCAATTATCTGCCATCGTTCCTCACCTTTGCTGATAAACTCCGTTCCAAGTTGACTCCAGCCAGCTCTGCCCTCATTTCATTATAATTACCTTTATTTAAGCTTAGCACAGTTGTTTCTGACCCCAGTTCCCACCGCTCAAACTGAATGCTAAATTCTATATTGTGGTCACTGTTTCCTCGGTGATCATTTACCCTGACATCATTTATTAAAACTGCCTCATTACACATCAACAATGCAAAAAGCCTGTTCCCTGCACACTGCACACTGCACACTTGGGTAGAACAGTTAGCCATAGTTTCTCAATTTCAACAAATCAGCAGTTGCTTGAACATGTGTTTCATAATCAGGGCATTTCATAATATGCTCAGTTTCTTTTTAAAAATACAAAAAAAAATTGTGATGTACTATTATCAATCTTTATAGTCAGCATGGTAACACTTTCAACTCTGAATCATTGAGCACAAAAATCATAGCTATAAAACCAGTGCACTACTGAGGCAGCATTGCACTGTCAAACCTGCCATGTTTCATGCCATCCAGGAACAGCCCTTCACAGTACATATAATTGGAGGGAAATAACAAAGAAAAGCATATGAGGTCACATAAATTGGAAGTAGAATCTCAAAATCAAATATGTTGCTTTTTTAATATCACCTGTCTGGTGGACTGTCATTGTAACAGATTAAATCAAGGCTCCATCTTCCATTCAAATGATTGTAAAAAATCCCATGGCACCATTTTGAAGACTAGCAAGAGAATAATCTCCAGTCTCCTGGCAATATTCATGTCTGAAACAACATAACATAAAAACAGATTCTAGTCATTATCACGTTACAGTTTTTAGGAGTTCACTGAATGATAATTAGCTGTCCCATTTCCCACATTACAGAAGTAGCTCCACTTCCAAAGTGCTTAATTGACTATAAAGCACCGAGATGCCTGGTGGTCATGCAAACTGCTGTGTATATGCAAGTGTTTCTTTCTTGTAGTCTTGGTGCAGTTACTCTGTGGATCAATCCTTTTAATATTAGCCACTAAATTGTTCTAAAGCTCATTTAAAAATATAGTAGCATATATATTTTGTTCATGTGAACATCTACTGTAATAATTGTGGAGCTGATTTACTTCAAATGTAATAAACTTTGACAAGAGAGATAATTACCCC